TGCTCATAAAAAGATAATTTATTAATTTTATGGAGAATTTCTTGAAATAATAAATCCGTTGATACTTTTATATTGTGATTTTTTTCCAGCTTCTTTACTGTTTATCTTTGCCATCCAAATGTTTGATTCACCATTATGTCACTTAATGATGGCGACACATTCTAAAAAATTTGTCTTTTGATTATTTTGTTGTTGTGAAAATATCATTAAAGTTTTACTCATATGAACCTTGATAGTATAGCTTATAACATATTAGGCTATATGGTATATGTTATTCCTAGGGCCATGACAAACAAAATAACATAATAGTTTAACATTTAATAATTAAGCATGAGAAAAAATGATGCTACCAGGTGACACTGTTTTGATGAGATGAGGTTGTTTCTTGTGTAACATGACATAGTTTTACAGCAAATTTTTTTTTTGTCAGTAGGGGTACATTAAAATATTGATTAAAAACTAAATAATGATAAAAGTATGATAAAATATAGTATGTTAAATGCATAATCAATTTACTAATGTAACCATTTATCATCATTATTGAGTATATGTACTATACTTAATTATGTACTATATATAATATATACTGTATAGTGTTTATATGTATACTGTATATAATTTTATGTGCTATACTTTTATACGATTGGGAGTGCATTTGGTTTGTCACCACAAACACATAAGAAATGTGTTGTGATATCACGTTAACTGCAGTGTCACTAGGCAACAGAGATTTTTTAGCTCTGTTATATGGAAGCCATAATCTTATAGTGGTCTTATGAAGACTACCATAATAGGTAGTCTGTCCTTGACAGAAATGTTATGCATCATTTATAACATGACATAGTTTTACAACAAACTTTTTTTTTTTACTTTCTAGTTAGAGCTGTCAAAATTTTCTTTCCTTTTTCTTGTTTTCTGTCATGCTTGTGAAGTCATAACATCAATTTTTTTGCTCCTAAGGTATGAAGAAATGGTCACTCATATTTTCTCTTAGTACTGTTATGTTATTTTTGTATAACTCTGTCTTTGGACTAGTTGGAATTTACTTTGGTATAAGAGATCCAGCTTAGTTTTTTCCATATATCTAGGTAGTTCTCCCAATATCATTTAATAAAGAATTTATCTTTTCTTTACTGATTTCAAATGGTTCCTTTATATAAAGAATTCTGTATTTGGTTGGGTCCGTTTTTGAGTCAGAGTGTTATACAACTGTCTCATTGCTTTCTGATTTTATAATTCGTAAATAGTGGTTCATTTATTAACTCTTTCAGTGCTTATTAGAGACTTTATTCTAGGCACTGGAAATATAATAAAACAAAATCTCTTTTATCCTTGAACTCACATTTAGTGATGTGTCTGTTGAATTTTTAACCACAAAATAGGTCAGAAGTTTGGAGATAAAGTCTCTTAGAGGCAGAAGAAGTAAAGCTTGACTCCATTGGGTGTATGTGTGTGTGTGTGTGTGTGTGTTTGTGTGTGTGTTGACTGAAATAGATAATCAAGGAGGAAATATCACAGGAAATAGAAATAGAACAGGGATTCTTCATGTGCTTATGTGTAGATATGTGTCTATGAGGTTTACTGCCCATAATAATATGTTCTGATAGAAACAAAATTGAAGCAAAAATTAAGTGTTTTGGTTTAAAATTTCTTGTTTTCTTCTTTCACATTTGTTCTACTTTCTTTTTGTATTCCTTTCCTTCTTTTTAATAGCCTCTATGTTTTAGGGTAGTTTTAGGTTACAGAAGAACTCAACAAAGAATTCTCAAATGTTCCCTAACTCCACACATACGTGGGCCTCCCTAATTATTGCTTTTTTTTTTTACATACAGTAAACCTACACTGACTCATTATTATCACCTGAAGTCCATAGTGGGGGTTCATTCTTCTTGTTATAGTATAATGATATGTATCTACCATTGTAGAATCATATACAGAATAGTTTTCATTGCTCATAAAATCCCCTGTTCCTACTCATTCATTTCTGTTTCCCTCCAGTGGCAGCCATTGACTACACTTTTCAGAACATCAGGTAGTTGGAATTTTACAGAATATGGTCTTCCCAGAATAGCTTCTTTCACATAGTAGTATATGTTTAGGGTTCGTCCAAGTCTTTTCATGTCTGGGTAGCTCATTTCTTTATATCTCTGATTAATGTTCTATTGTCTGTATGTACCACTGTTTTGTTTATTCATTCACTACTCAAGAACATCTTGTTTATTTCCAAATTTTGGCAGTTATGAACAAAGTTGCTAAAAACATCCTTAGTGTAGACCTGTTTTCAATTCATTTGGGTAAATAATGAAGAATGCATTTGCTGTATTGCATAGTTAAGAGTATGTTTATTAGATTAGAAACTGTCAACTATCTTCCAAAGCAACTATACATTTTGAGTTCCCAGCAGTGAATGAAAGTTTCTGTTATTTCCTATCCTTGCTGTCATTTGATGTCAGTATATTGGATTTTGGCCATTCTTATAGTTGTGTATTGGCATCTCATTGTTTTGTTTGCAAAAGGCATATGATGTTTGGCGTCTTTTCATATGCTTATTTATTCATTTATATGTCTTTCATAGTTTTTTATGTCTTTTTATAGAGCCATTGGTTTGCATCTTGTATGCATTTTTTAATCAGGAATTTGTTGTTGAGTTGTTTGTATATTTTGGCTAACAGTTCTTTATCAGAAATTTTTTTTTAAAAGTGTTTTCTCTCAGTTTGTGGCTTATTTTTCTAATTTTCTTGATACACTTTTTCTCAGTGAATGGTGACATCATTTGAGCAGTTGTCCAAGTCAGGAACCTGGGGTATCATCTTTCTTACTCTTTTTCCATAGTTTACATCTGATTCATTTTCAAGATTATGCCTCTTGAATATGTTCTGAATCACGTTAGTCAGCTTTTTGTCTGTGACAAAACTTCATAAGAACAATATGGAGGAGGAAAAGTTTATTCAGGTTCTTGGCTTCAGAGGTCTCAGTCCATGGTCAGTTGATTCCATTTCTCTGGGTCTGAGGTAAGGCAGAACATCACAGAAGAAGTTCATGACAGAGGAAAGCTGCTTAGCAAATGGCAATGCAAAGCTGGGGGTGGTGGGTGGTGGGGGTAAGAGGAAGAAAGGGAAGAAAGAAAGCAGAGAAAAAGAAAGCAGAGAGCAAGAGGAACCAGGGATAAGATAGGAGCCAAGGCCACACCTCAATGACCTTCTTCCTCCATCCATGCCCTGCCTGCTTGCAGTTACCACCTGGTAATTCATTCAAATTATTGATCCATCAAATGGATTAATGCACTGATGAGGTTACAGGCTCATAATCTTAATATATCCATCACTGAACATTCCTGCATTGCCTAACACAAGAGCTTTTCAGGGGATACTTAATATCTAAACTATAACACAACTCTGGTAATACACACTTTTCACTTCTGAACCTTGATGTATTGCCTAACATGAACTCTTTGGGGAACTTTTAAAATCCAAACATGAATCTTTCAAATTTCTCTGTCACTGTCATAATTTGGTTCATATTCAGCTATCACCTGGTATAGTTGCTTTTAGAGTTGTCCCCGTGTAACTCATTCTTTCATGCTGCATAGAATAATCTTTTTTTTCCTTTTAAAATTCTGTGACAGTATTCCATCATTTTTATAGTTCCAGTTCCCTACCATGAGAGTCTTTATCTGTCTTCTGCTGGCTTTAGTATTCTTAACTTTTACATGCTTAATTTATTATAGCATGTGTACCTCCCTGAACTCTTGCCACCTTTCCCTTCCCTTCCCTTCCCTTCCCTTCCCTTCCCTTCCCTTCCCTTCCCTGGTTCAGCTAAACTTCATTCCTTGGAGGGTCTGTGTTCTTTTTTGCTCTCTGAGCTGCTTGTACACTGTTCTTTCCTTTTAGGATACTCTTCCTTTCCTCTGCCCTCTGCCCGCTGCCCTATACCTTGTTCTCACTTATTCTTTCTGTCTCAGTAGAGATGTCAGCTTCTCCGTGAAGTAATACTGATTTGTCTTACCATCATTTGTAATAGTATGTCTGCTTTATGCCTCTACCACACTGTCTAATTTATTGTATCATAGCTTTGTTTTGTATTTTGGTTAAAAAGGATTCTCTAATTCTTTCAGGTATTTTGTTTATTATTGGCCTTTTGTTTTTGTGTTTAAATTTAGAGCCAGTTTATTAAATTGTTAAATATTTGATGATTTATTCGAGTTGCTTTGCATAGTTTTATCAGTTTTAGGGGAGAATTGATGTCTTTTAAGATACTGAGTTTTTAGTCACTGAACATAGCATAACTTCTTTTTTTTTTCTTTTTTTTCATGTCTTCCAGTAAATTTTCATATTGCTTTCCATGACGGTTCACATATCTATGTTGTACCTGTGACTTTAAACAGGAGCCATTAAAGTAAACCCCACAGGACAAAAATCTTCGTACCATCTGAAGGCCCATGATATAAGAATGTTAAGAATTTTATAATTGATTGGAAAAAAATAAAATGAATATTATATGAAATGTAAAGAGTATATGAAAATTAATTTATGTGCATACATTTAGTTTTACTGGAATATTTCTGTGTTCATTTATTTCAGTATATTACAGCATTTGTAGTAATACATACAAAATTAATTATTCCCAGAGATTATATGACCTGCAAATCACAGGTGTTTTATAGAAAAAGATTGCTCATCCCTGACTTAGAATTTTTGTTTGTCTTATTGTTGGTATATTTCAAGATTTCTTTCTGTTTTAGGATGAGGGTGGTGGTGGGTAGAGTTTTTTAGCTTCCCTTTCCTTTACTGGTATCTCTAATTTTGATAAGACAATTCATAATGAGTCTATTTTATAGGTTTTTTTTAATAGGTTGAATCGTACCTGAGCAGAGCAAAAGGTTGAAAACTATTGATATCTTCATTTATGTAGTGGTCGTTATAGATATGTTTTGCTACTTTGCATTTGTGATTAAATAAGATGTGTCTTAATTTCCTTTTTATGGATATCCCCTTTTGTAGGAAATTAAACGAGACACAGATTCCAAGGATGACAATTTGCCCATCAAACGGGAAAGGCATGGAAATGTAGCAAGTCTTGTGCAACGAATAAGTACCTATGGACTTCCAGCCGGAGGAATTCAGCCACATCCACAAACCAAAAACATCAAGAAGAGTATGTAAATAATTCCTTTCTTGATTAATTACATCAAAAGTGGAGGATATTTCATAACCGTTGATAAATTCAGAAAAATTGGCTTAACTTTCTGCAGCCAACTAGAGTAACTTCTAACTTATTATCATGGATTTTTGTCCCCCCCCCCCTTTTTTTTCTTGGTATTGAAGATGGAACCCACGTGTACTTTACCACTGAGCTACATCCCTAGTCTTTTTTTAATTGTTTATTTTGAGACAGGGTCTTCCTAAGTTGCTGAGATGCTATGTTGCTAAGAGTCTCATTACCAAGTCTGACTTTGAACTTGTGATCCTCCTGCTTCACCCTCTGAGTCTCTGCGATTACATGTGTGCTGCAACCATAGCTGGCAAAGTTTTTCTTTTGGATGCTGATAATGACAATAAAGATTTTCTAAGATTCTAAGTGTCTAAATTAAGTAAAATAGGTAGTATCTTCTTGAGCGGCTTTATTTATTTATTTATTTTTTTAAAGAGAGAGAGAGAAAGAATTTTAATGTTTATTTTTTAGTCTTCGGCGGACACAACGTCTTTATATGTGGTGCTGAGGATCGAACCCCGGCCGCACACATGCCAGGTGAGCGCGCTACCGCTTGAGCCACATCCTCAGCCCCTCTTGAGCGGCTTTAAACTTTTATGGTCTAAGTATTTTAAAATTTTTATTCCTAAAGAAGCGAATTCTTGGGGCTGGGGTTGTGGCTCAGTGGTAGAGTGCTCGGCTAGCATGCATGAGGCACTGGGTTCGATCCTCAGCCCCACATAAATGTAAAATAAAGATAATGTGCCCACTTAAACCTAAAAAAAAAAAAATTTAAAAAAACAAATAAATAAACATGTCAAACATGTCTTTAAAAAAAAAGAAGAGAATTCTTAAGGATTCAGCCATATGATAAGTGGCTGAATCACTGTTTCCTAATGTTTGATAATTTTCTTTGCTCACTGGAGAAGGAAATCCATTAAAAAGCTTTGACTGATTAAGTGAGTTTAAATGCTGGAATAAAACCTGAAGGTATATCTTTGAGGGCCAAATTGAACCAAAAAGTGAGTCAGAAGTCCTTTTGCTCCTGTCTATGAAGTTTTAGCATTCAGTCTTACCTTCATTATGGGATATGCTTTTCATTTTAGCATTTGATGGAAAGATTAAAAACAGTTTTCTTCAGTGAGATGTAGTTTCATAGTTGAAGACTTTTATTTGAGTTATTAATATTTAGATATGTTTTAGAATTATTAATATTTAGGCCTGAAATACATAACCATTATTGATGCCATCTGTTTGAAAATTAAGGATTTTTTGTTTTTATAGAGAAAGAATAAGGAAAGTAAACATCCTTCAGAGTGAAGTTTCACACACTTGGTTTTTATTTATTTATTTTTAGTTATCGATGAACCTTTTTAAAATTTATTTTTATACATGTGGTGCTGAGAATTAAACCCAGTGCCTCACATGTACTAGGCAAGCGCTCTTAACACTGAGCTACAACCCCAAACCCACACACATTTGGTTTTGTTTTTCAAAAATGACAAAACTTTTTAAAAAAGTGTTATAAGAATTTTAAAAAGTGTATTCTGAAACTTTTTGATTACTATGTACTATTCAGTACATAGTATGAATGCCTAAATATCTGTGGGTATATTACCATGAGAAGTAGTGTTGTTCTAGGCAGTTAAATCTGCCAAATAAGGTGGGTATGGATCATGATTCAGAACTTAAAGTCTGTTGGGGCAAACTTCAAGTTACTATAACATAGGGATGATCGTAATAATTATCTCATAGAATTTTAATATTAACATGTTAAGTAATTATTATAAGTGCTTGGTAAATGTTTGTAATTATTGTTTTATGCTTTAAAGAACTATTAGAATTTTAGATTAGAATTTAACATGTAACATGCAGTGATCCATTGTATGCTACATGCTGTAGTAGAAATAGAAATGGTTTAGAAGTGGGGATGTCAGAAGTGAATATTTCAGTTTTGCCTCATTTTAGCCCTATGGTGTTTGACAGATTATTTAACTTCTGAGTTTTGTTTTCTCATTGGTTAAGTAATGAGAAGTTTTTATGTGTTGTTGTATGGGAGATGTTTGTGAAAGACTTTAAATAGTGCTGATACTTACTATAAGGACATGAAATGTTTCTACCTTTGCTGTACCTCCTTTAACCTCATTTTAGTTAATATTAATAGCTTTACTTATAATTCTTTTACCATTAATTTCTTTGTAGCTCTGAAAAGCTGTATGGATGTTTTTATGATAAGAAAATGGTTATTTTAAAAATTTGACTTAAGTTAATTCATCTTTATTGACAATTTGCTTTTGTATTTGTTTTTTTCCTCTTTTGTGTTTAGCACAGGTTCTGATCCATTTTAAAATTAATAATTGAGCAATATATATGGGTAGACACTGTGCAATTTATAATGTGAAAAAATCTCAAAAATTCCTTTAATTATTTTGCCAATTAAATTAATGGTTGAATTCAGTATGCTGGCAACTCAAGAGTGAACCCATAATGCAAATATGAAATTATGTGAAAAAAACTTGAAACCGCTCACATTTAATAGTAATAATAGGAGCTATGTAGGTGTTTACTATTCATTGTGACATGTTTCCTTTGAAAAATGAAAAATTCCTTTGCAAATTATTCTACAAGCTAATCTAAAACTCATACCTAGTATGGAAGGAAAAAAATATAGGTCTTGTTTAAAATATGACTAGGTTCCAAGTTAATTGACACTCCTGGGGTTGGGACTCACTCAAAATACTCTAATTACCTTAAGTCCAGTTTTAAGAGATAATGAGGCATAAGAAAAAGAAGCAAACCATATATCTTAAAAAGGTCTAAAATTATCAGAAAAAATAGATTTTCTTCTTTTAAGAGAAGCCTTAGGAAAATCAATTTTTCTTTACAATAATATAGATAATCTCCCCTTGTCTAAGAAATGCTAAATAAATTGAATCCTTTAATCCTGGATGCTAAGCTCATACCTGATATGCTACCTAGTTGGGAGTCCGAGGCAGGAGAATCACAATTTCCAGGCCAGCTTGGGTAATTTAGCAAGACCATATCTCAAAATAAGGAAAGGCTGAGCATGAATATAGCTTAATGGTAGACCACTGCTAGGTTCAATCCCTACTATCTCAAAACAACAAAAATCCATTAATGAATACATTTTTGTCTGCTCGCTGCTAGAACTTGCAAAACTATTTAGAGATGGGAAGCTCCCTGAAGTATGCATAAAACAATTTTCTTCAAATTATTGCTTAAAAAATTACCTGACTGAATGAAAGGTGACCTTTAAAAAATTCTGCTATGAAGTCTAGGTCAGTTACAAAATTGTTGTCATTGTTTACTTTCTTTAGTTTTTGTTTCTTATAACACATAGAATAATAAATCAGATGTAAATTATTAATTTTTTTAGGAAGAAGGGAAAACTTATGGAGTTTTAACTATTTAGAGACTCAATTCATTCTACTTGATTGTCATGTCTGTTTTACATATGGTTGATTGTATGTAATATGTTTCTTTTGAGGTGGGGGTTTGGTTAGACTTTTTTTTTTCCTTTTTGATAAATAATTTCATAGATCTATAGAATGTAAGAGAATGAAATAACTCTAATGGTTATCCATTTCATCTCTCTTGTTCTCGTACCCTCTCTCTCTTTCTGTCTTTAAATGGCTTAGGAAACATTCTAAAGAATGTAGGTGAATTAAGAATATTATGTCAACCTAATCTTCTGATTTTCAAACCAATGATATTCTGTTGTAGGGTCACAGCCCCACCCCTCTCACTCTCTATGTTTGTAGTACTGTGAATTGAATCCAGTGCCTTGTGCTTGCTGGACAAGCGCTCTATCATTTGATATACATCCCAGCCACTCCTACCCCTCCCACCTCGCTTCTTTTTTTGAGACTGGGTCTCACTAATTTGCCCAGGCTAGTTTCCAACTTGTGATTTCTCTGCTTTAGACTCTTCCATATTTTCTCCAGGTCAGACCTGTTCATTCCTTTAGTTTTTGGAATTTTTTTTTTTTTTTTTTTAAGAGAGAGAGAGAGAATTTTTTAATATTTATTTTTCAATTTTTGGTGGATGTAACATCTTTATTTTATTTTTATGTGGTGCTGAGGATCGAACCCAGCGCCCCGCACATGCCAGGCGAGCACGTTACCGCTTGAGCCACATCCCCAGCCCAGGAATATTTGTTGTATGCACTAAATATTTTATGATCTGCAAGTACATCACCAATTGTTGAGGTCTTTAAGTGTATATTTAAATTGTTAAGATAAATATTGTCAGAATTGTGGGTGGTAGATTGCTGATGGAATGTAGTCACTTGGAATATTATTATTATTTTAAAAAATATTTATTTATTTATTTTTAGTTGTAGTTGGACACAATACCTTTATTTCACTTACTTATTTTTATGTGGTGCTGAGGATCGAACCCACTACCCTGCACGTGCGAGGCGAGCGCTCTACTGCTGAGCCACAACCCCAGCCCCTAACACTTGGAATATTATTAATTGGCACTGATACCATATGGTTAGGTGCTTGTTGATTAATTCATTCAAAAAGATTTATTGGATACTACTCTGGGTTGAATGATAGTCCCCTCCAAAATTCAGGTTGAAACTTAATTTCTATTGTGGTTTTAAGAGGTGGGCCTTTTGGAAAATGATTAATTCATAAGGGGTCTGTCTTCATGAATTAATTAATGCTTTATAAAAGGTCCAGAGGGAAGTAGTTTTGGTCCTTTTATTGCCTTTCCATTTTTTGCAAAGTTGAGGATTGTGTAACAAGAGGGCCCTCATCAGACATGAAACTTTCTGGCACTTTGATTTTGGACTTCTCAGCCTCTAGAATTGTGAGAAAAAATTTCTACCCTTTATTTCATTGTTCTCAGGTATTTTGTGATAGTTACATTGTTAGGAGATGTCCATTACTAACAATGCCCATTACTCTTGTTTAGCCTCTAGAGTAGAGGAGGATACTCAAAAGAAATAAGTCAGTGTGATAGCCTGAAAAGAAAAAAGGTGAATTTTTAATCACAGGTAGATTGCAGAATCCAATAGGATAAAGTACATGAAACTACAGAAGTGCAAAGAAGAGTACATAATTCATAAAGATGGGTGGAGGTTAGTGTTTCATAGCTGAGAACTGAAGATGAAGACAGAGTGAGGTTTATGGATGAAAGTAATTGGTTCTTGGCAAGAGAAGTATTTAAATATTAGAAGGAATATGATATGCCATTTTCCAGAAATTAAGGATGAGCATGTTGGTCAGCTTTCTTGTTTCTGTGACCAAAAGACCAAACAAGAACAACTTAGAGGAGTAAAGATTTCTTTTGGCTCCTGGGTTCAGAGCTCTGGGCCTGAGATGAGGCATAGCATCAAGGCATGATAGAGGAAAGCTGCTCAGTTTATGGCATCCTTCAAAGAGAAAAAGAAAGGAACATGGAACAAAATAAAGTGCCAAGGACATGCTTTTAGTGATCTAATTCCTCCAATCATGCACCATTGATATTATTACCCATTAAATGGATTAATCCACTAAATGAATCTATTAAATGGATTAGCCCAGTAATGAGATTAGAGCATCATGATCTAATCATTTCCTTTAAAGCCTCAACTCTGGACATTGCTGCATTACCTTCATTACATGAGCTTTTAGGGAGGACATTTCAGATCTATGTTGAAATAGTCAGGATAACTGGATCACTGAGTGGAAGACTAAGTGACTCAGTTAAAGTACTTATTTGAATTTATTCTTCTAGGGTTGCCATAACAAAATACCACAAACTAGCTGACTTAAATAGTAGAAATTTTGTAACATTTTTGAAGATTTGGAAGTCTAAGATCAGGGTATCCCTGGGGTTGGTTTTTGGTGATTGTCTCTCCACCTGGTGTGTAAAGGTCACCTTCTTACTGTTTTTTCACATGAGCCCCTTTCTGCTGAGGGGTGGGAAGGAGGACAGTGGTGGGCTGATGTCTGTTCTTCTTTTAAAAGAATACAAGTCCTTTCTGATACCAGTCCTTCCCAACTAGGGCTCCATCTGTATGGCTTATCTTAACCTTAATTACCTCTCAAAAGACCCTGTCACCAAATGCACGTTGGGAGCTAGGACATCAATATATAAATTTTAAGGGAGACACAATTCAGTCCATAACATACAGCTCTGGAGTAGGTAATAACTGTTGCTGATCTGAGGAACATATTTTGGATAGCAAGAATAATCACTTAATCAGTTACACCTGGTTGTCAACCCATACCTGCTTAATGATTCACCTTTAAAAAAAATTTATTCTTAAGTTTTAAGTGGATACAAAATCTTTATTTTACATTTATGTGGTGCTGAGGATCGAACCCAGTGCCTCCTGTATGCTAGGCAACCACTATACCACTTAGCCAAACCCCAGCCCCATGATTCACCTTTAAAGATGAGAATGAGTCTTGAGTTTTCAATTCTTGGAGCTTGAAAGATGTCGAGCATATAAGTCTGGAACATTATAAATGATCGTGTTTTGAATAAGTGAAACTTGTAGAATTATTTTTATCTTCACTTATGTGTTTAATTTTTATTTGTCAGAAAATAAGAGATATAGATAAGCTAAAACATTCTAGGTTTGTACATTTTGCCTCTTTTTACTGAAGACACTCTTCAGAGTAGCATATTTGAAATATTCTTAGGCTTTAATCAGGAAGTAGTTTGAAAATCACTGGCCTGGAGGACTTATGATAAAATTTTTGGGTCAAAATGTCATTGTTTGTTTTTGTTGTCTTAAAATTAGATAATGGATGTTTTGCTTTTGTGTAATTAGTGGGATCAGATAATATAAATTAACACCATTGATGGAAACTTTGTACCTTATATATAGTTGAATCTATTTGGGAATGAATACATTATGTCGTGGGGGCAGAGTTAAAAATGTCAACTAGGGCTGTTTTTGGTTAGCTTCTTAGAATGCTCATATGTTCTGTCTAATTCATCCTTATAGGTCCTCTGATGATAAACATGTAAACAAAGATACTGTTTTTAGAACTGATCTTTCTTAAACTAATTTTTTATTGTTACTTCCTGTAGAGACCAAGAAAAGGCAGTGTAAAGTTCTTTTTGAGTACATTCCACAAAATGAGGATGAACTGGAGCTGAAAGTGGGAGATATTATTGATATTAATGAAGAGGTAAGTATAACATATGTTAGCACCCTTAGCAGAACCTATACATTTAAAATAGTTATGAACCTGGCATGGTGGTACATGCCTATAATCCTAGCAACTTGGGGGGTTGAGGCAGGAGAATCACAGGTTCAAAGCCAGCCTCAGTAACTTAATGAGACCCTGTCTCCAAACAACAACAACAACAACAACAATAATGTATATGAAATATTTTATTAAATGGTTTTGTGGAAATTGAGTAACCTTGTTAACTAGTGAGTATAAATATTTTTCTAAAAAATTTGATTTATAAAGATTTCAGTTTGGAGGGGGTGTTTAGTAGAGTGATTATGAATATTTAAAAGTAAGTGATTATCATACTTTATGGTTAAGAATCATTGTTCAAGTATAGGGTTAGTAATTTTTTTTGTTAGTAATCAAACTTTTTCTAAGTTAAAATTTTTCTAAATATCTTAAATAATGTATGTCATAATTATACACCAAGGCCCAGTAATTTTTAAAAGAATGACATTCTAAAAGAGACCTATGTACTTATTGCTATTGATACATAATACTTGATTATCTGATATTTTCATGAAAAATAATTTACTTCATAGGTTGTGATTGATTACATATTTGCATTGTAAATATTTTAAAGGACAATATTAGTTCCATATATCCATTTAGATTTAATATATTTTCACAAATCACAACCTATGAAGTAAATTATTTTTTTAATATATTTTCCTCATTTTATCTTAAAGGCCGTATTTTGTTTAATTAACTTTGTTCTTGTGTTTCATAGCTTAGGTTTTCATAGGCTAAAAAGGTTTTTACTTAAAAGAAATTTTTATCATTTTTAAGTTGTGGACTCTTTCAGGTAGAAGAAGGTTGGTGGAGTGGAACCCTGAACAACAAGTTGGGACTGTTTCCCTCAAACTTTGTGAAAGAATTTGAAGTGACAGATGATGGTGAAACTCATGAAACTCAAGAGGATTCAGGTAGATCTTTTTTAAAAAAATTGAATGAATTATTTATTTTGTAATTTTTCATCTGTATTCTGACTTATTTTTGAACTCTGAGTTAGCTGTAGGTAAACTGCTTTTAATGAGGATAAAGGTGAACTAAATAGCCTACGTCAAATAATTTTAATATTTAATTTCATCTCTGATCTCTACTTCATGCCTTTGTTATACTAATAAAAAAATGCTATTTATGTTATCTGTTCTTTCTACTTAAGATTTATTTATGTAAACTTTTGAACTGCTGAGTTTGGAAATGGCCTGTGTAATACTTGAGGTAATTTGGAAATTACAAAAATTTTACTTTCATTGTTTTCCATATTCACATGCTAGGCAAGTGCTCTAGCTCTGTACTATACCCCCAGTTCTTTTTATTTTATTTTGAGACAGGTTGCCAAGCCTGACCTCAAACTTGTAAACCTCTTCCCTCAGCCACCAGAATAGTTGGTATTACAGATGTGTACCACTGAGCCAGTATTTCAGCATGGTTTTATTGATTTTTTTTTCCCTGATTGTTAACAGAACCACACAGTTTATTTTTCATGTTTCTTTAAGTAGACTAATTTCTTAGCTTTTTTTCTGTTTTTCTTGACAGATTTTAGAGTTAAGGCAATTTATTTTGTAGAATGACTCCTACTTGGGATTTTCTTCTAATGCATCATTAGATTTAGATAGTATTTTATTGGCAGAACTACAGAGTAATGTCTTTTGACATTATATTGGAAGACAGTGATGTCTGACTTTTATAATTGGTGGTGTTAAATTTTATTAAAATTTAATTGTGAGTTTAGTTAAAACAGTGCTGCCAGTATAAATAAGTTTACTGTTTTTCTCCATATATTTAAGTGTTTTTGTAGGAACTTTGAATCTATACAACAGTTTCCTATCAGACTTTTATCCAAAGTTACAGCATTATAAATAAATTTTGCCTGAATCAGTTATTGTTCTCATGGTTGCAAACGGGTCATTTTATGACTCTGTCATCCCTTTGATTTTATTCTTTAGAGTTACTTTTGTCTTCAGCTTACTTGTTTATTTATCACTATGGACTATTTAGTGAGTTCCATTTATTCACTCACCATCAATCTATAACAAGTATTTATTTTTTATGTAGGGGATTGTACCACTGACCATTATATCCCCAGGCCCCCTTTAAAGTTTTTTATTTTGAGACAGGGTCTCACTAAGTTGCTTAGTTCCTAAGGCTGGCCTTGAATTTGTTACTCTCCTGTCTTAGTCTCCAAAGTTGCTGGAATTATAGATAGGTATATGCCACTGTGCCTAGCCAGCAATATTTATTTTGACATCCCTCATATATGGCCATTGTGACCTTTTAACTTTCTTGGAGGTATAATTTACATACAATATGTTTGTCCCTTTAAAATATACAGGTTGATAAGTTTGACAGATGTGAGATGTGTGCATGCATAGAAAGCACCACCCCACAATAATAAATATACAGAACATTCTGTCACCTCCAAAATATCCCCCTGCTTCTTTGCAGTCTGTCTTTTTCTGTCCTTGTCCCTAGGCAATGATGGATCTGCTCTTTTTTGTTGTTGTTGTTATTTTAGTCATTTTAGTTTGCATTGCTATGTCCTTTTGACATTTCTCAATTATTTTTTGAAGATGTCCTTACTTTGCAATACGGGATCTTCCATACTAAGTTTGAACTTTACTTCCCCAATCCTTGAATCAATGACTTATCAAGGCAACCTTGGTTTCTTTTAGAGAGGAAGATCCAGGACAAGATCTAGGAGGTGGTGTGCTCATTTTTACTTGGAGTGATGTTACTTTGAGGCCATCTTAGTGGACTAAGCTGGGGAATTCCTACACACAGACTTCTACCTCTCTATCTCTCTGTTAGATAAACAATTTAATAGCATATATTATGTTCTGATTTCTCTATAGATGTGTGAAATGAGTAATTGAGTTTGCTTTACTTTTAAAGGAATTTAGTTTTTCTTATGAGTTTTAGTTATCAATACTTTGCAAGTCACAATTATATTGCCTATGTCTGTTTACTTTTTGGCATAAAAGCTGTCATATATTAGGCTTGAAAGGATAAATGTTTAAAAGGCAATATTTTAATTTTTTTGTTATTTGATGTGTACAGAAAAACCAACATGAATTCATGTTATTGATTAGATATTATGTTCCTTAAAAGATCATACATGAGACAACACAAGGACATTTCAGAGGTGAAATGATAAGATTATGAGAGTCTTATTCCAGTCAGTGAATTAATTCCTGATGGGGATTAACTGATAACTGAAGGCAGGTAGGGTGTGGCTAGAGAATATGGGCACAGGAGTGTGCCTTTGGGGTACATATTTTATATCTGGTAAGTAGAGTCACTCTCTGTTTCCTAGTGTGATATCTTGAGCTCCTTCCCTCCACTACAGTCTTCTACCATGATGTTCAGCCTTACCTCAAGTCCCAAGTAATGGAGCTGGTTTTCTATGGACTGAGACCTCTGAAACTGTAAGCTCCCACATAAACTTCTCCTCTAAAATTTTTCTTGTCAAGTCTTTTAGTCACAGCAGTGGAAAAGTTGACTAAAACGATTCATTTTCTAAAAGATTTAGAAGAGACCTCTTAGCATTTTAGAAAATGACAAAGAAAAAATGTTCATAAAATACTGTTGATTTGTTCTAGGAAATAGACAGCAAATAATAGATAGTATAATAATATGAGTTAGGAATAATGGGCATGGTGGCACATGCCTGTAATCCCAGTGGCCTGTGAGGCTGAGGCAGGATGACTGCGAGTTCAAAGCCAGCCTCAGTAACTTAGTGAGGCTCTAAGCAACTCAGTGACACTGTGCCTCTAAATAAAATACAAAAAAGAGCTGGAGATGTGCTCCAGGGGTTAACCCCTTGGTTCAATTCCCGGTACCCCCGCCCCCCCAAAAAAGAGGAATAATGAATGAGATCTTGAGAAAAAATTGCCATTTAATTATAAATAATACCTGCTTTTCAGGAAAGGAGTTAATTGTAGTAATAATGAATAAGTAATAAAGTTAACATGTAAATTAGTTTGAATAGTTTTAAATACTGTGTTTTTTAGAATAGCACATATAACCTAAGAAAGAAGTGGAGGACATTTTAATCACGTGAATATTTCTTAAGCCTTTTGTAATCTAAGTTCTATGCTGGTTTTGTGAAGGGACAAATCTCTCTGTGATCCAGAGGTTTAAGGTCTACATTTCTGGTGGATAAGACTAATAGGAACTAAATAAACTTAGATAATAGGATAAAATGATTTAATTTACCCTAAATAGTCACAGGGACTTTGTGGGGCAGATCTAAAAATTGTCGCTTTATTTTGATTAATTTGCAGATTTTTTTTTTCATCTGAGAAATATCCCAGGAAACATTAGAAATCTAATCAATAGCGCTCACTCCAGCTATTTAAGCTTAGAGGTTATTTTCTAAAATCCTGTTTTTTCCCTCTTCTAATTGTTCTTTTCTTTATTTCTCTTATTATCCTCTGTGCAATCAGTCCCCCAAACCATTTCTAATCGTGATAAACAATAAAAATTTGTCATCTTAACAGTTTTTAAGTGTCAGTTCTAGCAATGTTAGGTATATTCACATTGTTTGCAACAGATTTAGAAATTTTCATTTTACAAAACTGCAAATTTATACATCAAGGAAAGGTAACTCATCATTTTCCCTTGTCCTGGACTCTATTAATCATCTGTTTCTATGAAATTGATTACTTCAGATTTGTCATACAAGGAAATAATACAGTTTTTGTCTTTTTATTTCATTTAGTCTAATATTTTCCAGATAATCCATGTCGTAGTATTTGACAAGATTTCCTGTTTTTAAAAGGTTGAACAATATTCTGTTGTATATCTGTGTTACATTTAAATATATTCACTTATCTTTCAATGGTATTTGAGTTGCTTCCTCCTCTTGGCAGTTATGAATAATGCTGACATGAACATGGGTGTGCAGAAGCCCTTTGAGACCCTGCTTTCAAGTGGAATATACCTAAAAGTGGGATTATTGGATTATTTGGTAGTTTGTGGAACACCATGTTGTTATTCATACAAGTTGTATCATGTATGTAGACCCACTAATAGTACATAAGGTTCTCTTTGCCTGCCAATACTTTTTTTTCCTTCTGTATTACCCATTCTAGTATATTGGTGTAAAATGATACTTAATTGTGATTTTTTTTGCATTTCTGTAATGATTAGTGGTATCAAGTATGTTTTTACATGCCTGCTGGCCATTCGTGTATTATTATCTTTGAAAACAGTACTTAAATGCTGCAGTCTAGCTGGGCACAAATAACTGAGCCGCCACAAAGCCTTGTAGGTTCAAACAGCAACTCTTTATTCCAGAACTCTCACCGGCACTCTACACACACTTCCCTGGAACACACACTCCCTCCACCTGGCTCCGCACGCCAATTCCCCTGGAACCCTGTGAGAACTCAAAAAGTAGCAGGAACTCCAAAGTAGCAGGCGCCTGAGGCAGCAGGATCCGCCCTATTCCCAGCAGGATCCGCCCTATTCAGTCTTTTTATTCACTGGGATTACAGTCATGTACCACTGAGACCAGTTTATTTCAGTGTTTGTAATGAAATGTGGTTTTATTTTGTCAAATATACTTAGTCTTTCTATAATACCTTGTCAATGTTCAAATTCTACCAACTTGCTAAATAGGACTTTACTTTAATTATTCCTTTTATTCTATAAAGCCATTCACTATATCTACTTGTTTTCATTCTTTTATAAAAGTCCTCTCCTCATAATAGTCATATTTCAAAATCTCCATTTAGATGTCTAATAAGCATTTTTTTTTTTTTTTTTTTTGAGTCAGGGTCTCATTATGTTGTTCAGGCTGGCTTTGAACTTGAGATCCTTCTGTCTCTGCCTCCTGAGAAGCTGGGATGATATGTGTATGCCACTGTGCTCATCTCTTAATAGTCAACTTATACTTTAAGTTGTTATCCATTACCTTGTTACTGAAAGTTATTAAACAGGAGATGAAGTCAGAGAGGTGATGGAAGGGACTTTGGGATGCCAAATCATGGAATGATTTGTAGCCATTTTAAAAGACTTTAGCTTTTATTATTAAGTGAAATATGTAACTACTGGAGGGGGATTATTACTTGCTTGGCAGGAATTGAAAGCGTATTTCCCCACCCTTAGAAGTCACAGATTGAGTTCTTCAAATAAGTAGGAAATTTTAAGCAAATTTGGAGTAGAGTGAAGAAAATGCATTGCATTTTCAGTGTCCTGGAAGACTTTCAATTCAGAGGGATAATAAAATATATAGTTGAATGTGGTATATGTTGATAGTGGAGAAATTACTGGGCTTAAGAAGTCATTATAGAAAATGTTAATTCACAGAGAAGTATTAGAATGGAATGAAACATTCATTGTTTCTAAGATAGATTGGAGAAGAGTGATACTTGGATGGTAGGACCAGTTGAGAATGTTTTGGTAATTTAGGTAGAAATAGTATTTGCTTAAGGTAGAAGAATGCTGTGGGAATGGAGAGACATGTGCAGGAGCTTTCATGTGGTATAAAAATAGGATCTAGTGATAATGAGATATGGAGAGGATGACCCATAAGAGAAGTCAAAGGCCACCAGCTTTTGGCTCAATAAGTTGGATATATGGAGGTGTAATTTGCCGAGATAGTGGTTAGTTTTGGGAGAAAATGATGAATTCACTTTTGTAGATGTTGAGTTTGAATCCTGTAGGAATATGAAGACATCCAAGTAAAGATATATGGGTCTGAATCCTTAAAGAAACTTTGTCCAAAATTGGAACCTGACAGTATTTTAGTTGTTATAAGAAATCCTAGAATTAGATGAGATTACCTAGGGTTAACTTACAGAGTGAAAAAAGAGCCTGGAATAGAATCCTATATAGTATTATATAAGGTATGGACCGAGGGAGAGTAACTGATAGGGGACCAGGAAGTCATGGAGATAGAGAGCTCCAAGAAGCCACCAATAAATGTGTGATAGCTAAGGAATTAGAGTTTTTTAGGGAGACTGTGCATAGTGCCATTTGAGAGATCAATAAAGATAAGAAAAGAAATCCTAGATATAGGAACAAGTAAATTATTAAGGGACCCATGTGGGAGAGGTATAGTGAGGTGAATGTGGATTAAGGTAAATTGAAGAAGAACGGATGGTTAGTTGTTAAGCAGTAGAGAGAGTAAGTATAAGAGTGCACCAGTTGAGGTTAATGTATATTCAAGAATGTTTTTACTCTGTTTTTTTAAGGAAAAGTTTTGATCACTTTTAAGTGTCAATGGCAAGAAAAATAGAAGAGGAACAGCTGAAGGTAGAAACTCAGAAGAATGTAACTTACTGTTAGAACAGAATTTACCTAGAAGGTGGAAGGAAGGAGTTTTGCATTAAGGGAACTACATCAAAATTAGTAGGCTTAGTGGCAGGAGGAATGATAACATCTGATTTTTGAGGTTTTCTATATAAAGTGTTAGATGTTAAGAATGAGGTGCAAAGTGGACAATTTTGAGGAAACTGAAAAGGTCCAAGCAGGAACCTAAATTCTTTGTGTCACTTATCCCTCTAGGTATTACTGGGCAACTAGAAGGATACATGGCATAAAACATTTTAAAAGAGCTCCTGATAGATTGTTTTTAGGAGTTTTTAGTCCCTTATGGGTAGAAAGAGTTCCTTTTCTTAGAGGAGGAGTAGCTTAAGTTTTGACTATTTACACACTAGAGAACGAGAAAGTGATAGTGCTAGTATAACATAAGATCCCGGAGAATGCTTGCATATACTGGCTTTGCCAACCTGGTGGATAGAAATGTTGTGGTCTTCAGTCTTAGTCTGTAGGAGGTAAGGTTGTATATGATTTATTTGGCATCTATAAAACCCACATTAGCATTCATACTGAACTTGTGGTAAGCAGCTTTGTAAGGTTTGCTTATAGTATGTTATGAGTTTTTGTAAAATTGCTGTTATAACCAGACACCTTTTTAAGGATCCTTTGTAAGGAATATGGATTGATTTTTAGTTCAGTTGAATACCCACTCACTCACCCCCATACTTTTTCTTAGCAAGTGTACAGTCATCTTTAAAAAATCTTAGAATGATGTTGAACAATGACTTTAATGGTAAACATGGATTGCTTCCATTAAATGCTTTGTGGTTTTTGTTAGATTTTTATTCTTTTTGTTTTTTTCAACAAGTGATTATATTTTGAGCTTCTTGATTACTTTAAGTCACTTTATAAGGAGATACAAACCATCAAATAACTTTTACAATAGAGATTCAATGAAGAGGGGGAGGGAAAGAGGAAGAATTTTAGATTATATAGAAAATGTTTTATGACTGACAGTGACATACATAAAATGCAGATATTTTCTGTCAGCTCTGCAATTCAGAGGCAATATGATGGAAAAAGCACTTAAATATTAAAAAATTAGATATACTGTAAAATATTACTATTTTGCCTCATGAGTCCCCTTGGCTTCCCTTTCTCCTCCTCCTTCCTTCTTTCTCCTTGTTTCTTCTGTATTTTTTCTCTTGTGGTGGCTAAGAATCCCCCACCCCTTTTTATGTTTTGTCAGCTCTATCTGATCAGTAATCTCTTTTACTTGAATATTTCTCAATAATATATTACTTAAAAATACTAGCTACTGAATCAGATACTGTTTCAAGCATTTTACAGAAATAAATTAACCATAATAGGAATCTTAGGAAGTATCTCATTGTATAGGTGAAAACATTGGATGCATAAAGTGGAGGAGCTGAGTGTTAAATTAGGAGAGTTTGGTTCTAGAGTTCATATGCTTTACCACTAAAGTGGTGCCCTGTGACCACTGATTTAATAGTGAAATTTGATAATTTATCTATTAGTAGATTGGATAACTTCATTTAGCATTATTTTCTCCAACATCATCCATTTACCAGCAAATGCCATGATTTTATTCTCTTTTATTGCTGAGTAATACTACATTGTGTATATATGACACTTTTTTTTAATCCATCTACTAAGGTTAATCAAGGTTGGTTGCACAATTTAGCTATTGTGAATTGTGCTGCCATAAACACTGATGTGGTTGTGTCCCTATAGTATGCTGTTTTTAAGTCCTTTGGGTATAGACCGAGGAGAGGGATAGCTGGGTCAAATGGTGGTTGCATTCCCAGTTTTCCAAGGATTCTCCATATTGGTTTCTATATTGGCTGCACCAATTTGCGGTCCCATCAGCAATGTATGAGTGTGCCTTTTCCCCCCACATCCTTGCCAACACTTATTGTTGTTTGACTTCAAAATAGCTACTATTCTGACTGGAGTGAAATGATATCTTAGAGTAGTTTTGATTTGCATTTCTCTAATTGCTAGAGATGATGAACATTTTTTCATATATTTGTTAATTGATTGTATATCCTCTTCTGAGAAGTGTTGGTTCTGTTCCTTGGCCTATTTATTGATTGGGTTATTTGTTTTTTTGGTGCTTAGCTTTTTGAGTTCTTTATATACCCTACAGATTAGTGCTGTATCTGATGTGTGAGGGGTAAAAATTGAAAGGGAGGGGGCAAGGGGTTAGCAATGATAGTGGAATGTGATAGACATCATTATCCAAAGTACATGTATGAAGACATGAATTGATGTGAACATACTTTATATACAAACAGAGATAATGAAAAATTGTGCTCTATATGTGTAATAAGAATTGTAATGCATTCCACTGTCATGTATTTAAAAAATAAAATCAATTAAATATTAAAAAAAAGAAAGAAAATATGTGCACACAATTTTCAGGGGCAGGGAGACAGTTTTTTCATGGACTCATTCGACCTATATGTAAGAACTCTTGTTACTGAGCAAACAAGTAAAATCTTTCTTAAACATATACTTTTAAACTTTATTTAAAACTTTTTGTTTATTATAATTTTAAAGTTGGTGTTGGAATTTGCTTTAAAATAAGACTTAAGTTAATTCATCTGAGTTAAAATAACAGTTTTTAAGTGAATTTCTGACTTTTCTATAAATAAACACTCTTTTGACTTTCCCATTTTTTATATTCAACAATCACCCTAACTTTAATTCGATTTAGTCATGTTAACTTTTAAAAATGGTTATACTTTCCCATTTTAACGTTTCAGTCTTATGTTATCTTTGGCCAAAACCTGTAAATTTGACATAATCTTGTTTCAATTTGTATTTCTATAACAAAGTAGTTGAGACTAAAGCACTTTATATTAAAAAAAAAAAAGTCACTTATTTAATACACAGTTCTGGAAGTTCAAGAGACTAGGGAGGGGTCAGGCTACTCCTGCTGGACTAGCCTGAATCTCTTTATGGGGATGGTCATGACCCAATCACCTCTCAGTATGTTTTACCTCTTGAAAGTCCTACAATTTATCAATACCATTTACATTGGGAACCAAACTTTAATCATAGAAATCTTTGGGGGGGGGGAAAGAGGGAAACACATTAAAATCATAGCATTTGGTTGAGGACCTTTTGTGGTATGATTTCCTGAATTTCTTAATTAGTATTTTACTAGTTAAATTTGCCTAAAATTGTTATTGTTTTATACAACAAAAAAATCCATATAAATAATTCATACTCTTGGATATTTTAGTACTTACATCATTAATTTTATTGTGTGTTTTCTGCCATTTTAAAAAAATTAGGCAGAGGTATAGCATATAGACATTATGAAAAGGGATTTGAAGTTTCTCCTGATTGTAGGTGTCATTCTTTGAAAATATTTGTTTCAGAAACTGTTTTGCCTGGGCCTACCTCACCCTTACCCTCTCCAGGGAATGGGAATGAAACTGCATCTGGATCAATTGCTCAGCCAAAGAAAATTAGAGGAATTGGATTTGGAGATATTTTTAAAGAAGGCTCCGTGAAACTTAGGACAAGAATATCCAGTAGTGAAACAGAAGAGAAAAAAACAGAAAAGGTGGTAATGATGTATTTATTTTATATTAACTTCACTCATTCTCACATTAAGCTTTTTTTTTTTTTAATATAAAGAGCAGTTTGTAACTGTGCTATATTTTCCTTCTTTGAGATTGCTAATAATTTGGTTCTGAATGAGAAGTTCCTGAGAAACTTTTGTTTCCAAATTTGCATGGATTAATATTGTTTGAATCCTATAAAATTAGGATGCTATTTCATGGTTAATTTAACATTAACTTATTCTAAGTGGAAGTTTTAGGTTTTGTAGTTAGGTTTAGTGTAAATCCAAAGGTGAACATTTTTGTCTGTATCATTTTAATTTTATACACACCTAAAATGGGCTATTTTAAAATGAATTTAGAATGAGATATTAAATTAATCAGATACAATTTAATTTTACTTTGGATTGTTAATAATGGTTAAATTTAATGATCTGCCCTCTGAGTTTTATTTTTCATTGGCATCATACTGGCATTTTCAAAAGAAATAAATAAAGTAAGTGAACTATTTTGGGAGAAAAATTGCTGGTCTTTAGAGTATTTTTAAAAAATTTTTGTTCCTATTGTCAATATTTTTGAGAGTCAGAGTGAGTACTTCAGGTAAGAGGCATTTCCTCTGACTTTTAGAGGCATGTTTTCCCTGTAGTTCTCAATTTAATCTCTTTATCTAACATTTAAGAGTTTAAATATTTTAATATTTATTTGCTAATTTTAACTACATATCATTTATTAAATTGTACTTGGTTAGTGAAAAACAGTTCTGTAATTTTCTCCCAGGGTGATTTGTCTGAACCCTTTTTTTCACTCTGAATTTTTCCATGTAATAGTGAGTTGAGTTTAAGAAGACAACCTACCCTCCCTCCCTCCCTCCATCCCTTCCTCCGTCCTTCCTTTCTTCCTTTCTATTTTAGAACTTTCACTTTCTACAATGTTATTGTGTGGCATTAATATTATGGAGTCTAATTGGTGAAATTTTCAGTTTTTAAAATCGTAATCTACAGTCATACAACAGAATATTGGGGAAGCAATTCTTGTGTTACAAGGGACATTACACTAGAGATCTGGGGTCCCTTGCAATTCTACAAGCTTATGATTATATTGAATAACCATTTGATTAATGATTATATTGGTAATCTTTCAGTCACCATTAACAAGTTCCACTACTCATTTGTTCATGAGAATAGTCTCTGAGTTACCACACTATTTGATAAATAGGGAGTACATTTGCTATGTTAGTAAGGGGACACCAGATTGGAAGATATGGTGGTTAGAATTGGGAGAAATTAAAATGAGTGTTTTGGAAGATAAATAGAAAACAAACAGTGACAGCTAAGTGTGTTCAGATTTTTAACTAATGGAAACCCAAGGTCAAATGTACTGTTATTTCTAGAGAGAATTCTTTGAAGGACTTTACTAGTTACAATGGGAAAATGTCTAAGTGGACTATCTAAGAGTTGTAACACTTACAAAATATTTTCAGATAGTAATAAGTAAATTATAAAAAGTTTTATTTATTTTTTAAATCTGTTATTTTAAGGTTTAGTACTATTAAGAGTGGACTTTCTGGGGGCTGGGGTTGGAGCTCAGTGGTAGTGTGCTCCCTCACATGTGGGAGGCGCTGGTTCAATCCTCAGCACCATATAAAAATAAATAAATAAAATTAAGGTATTAAAAAAGATGTGCACTTGCTGGAGTCAAACTTTATAGATTCAGATCTGGGCTCTACTTCTAAATGTCTGTTATTGTGGGGAGATTATTTAACTGCTTCTTAATGTAAAAAAAGGAGGAATAATATTTATATAGATAGAAGAATAAATTATGATATGCATAAATGCCTGTGTTCTCATTTTAGAACTCTGAGAATGTTTATCATCCTCAAGGAGTTTTAAAAATTAGCAGTTATGAGCTACCACTTGAGGAATGTTCAAGATCTCTTTCATTGCTGAATTTTCAGTCTCATTATTAACTTGACTACAAAAACTACAGGGAAAGCTGGGTGATTGTAAATGGAAATTTTGTTCAGCAATAGTATCTTTATTCTAACTTAAGTTAGTTGATATCATCTTTTTCTGTTTTAGCCCTTAACCATACAGTCAATAGGATCCAAAACAAGTGTGGAGATAACAAAAACAGAAACTGAAGGTAAAATTAAAGGTAAATTTTTTAATAAAACCTTCATAGTAGAAACATACTTAATAATATATTGGACTTTTTGAATGCATATGATGCATTCTACTACTTATCAAAGTATTAATTCCTACTAGATGTAAGCCCCATAAAGTTAAGGATTTGGGCATGCTGTGTTTATTGATGCATCCCCCTGCAGTTAGAATTGTGCCTGATATATAGCAGACATTTAGTAATTACTTGAAGAATGATTAGCAAAATTGTTTTTTTAACATACAGTATTGGCTATAGTTTTTAATTTTAAAATTTAAAGATGAATTATAAAGCTTATTATTAATAGCTTCTTATATATATTTCTTTTCACGAATAGAGGCATAATAAGTATTTGCTGAATCAATTTGCATCAGCCACTATTTGTATTTTTTATTTCAGCTAAAGAATACTGTAGAACATTATTTGCCTATGAAGGTACCAATGAAGACGAACTTTCTTTTAAAGAAGGGGAAATAATCCATTTGATAAGTAAGGTAAGGTGGTTTTCAGTGAGTCATTTAACTTATCCATAGGCATATATTGCTGAATTCTTATATTGCCCCTAGAATGTAAGCTCCAGAAGAGCCAGACACTTTGTCTTGTTTGTTTCTGAGTCCTCAGAGCCTTACATATAATTAGCACTCACAATGTTATTTTATTTGAGCCATCTTTTTTGTCTGTTAGATCACATTGCTTTTTTTCTTTATTAATTTGAGCTTCCCAGATTTCTATACTTAATTCTTTTCCACTCCCCCCTCCCCACCACCATGTGTTGTTTGGAACTGTTGCAAAGAATGAATTGATTTTATAAGTTGGAAAAAATTCTGCAGAAAATAAAGGGAAAACCTTGTAGTATTTGATGTGGACAGAATCCTATCTTAAGTACTTAGAAAAAATGATAAATATTTCATTTTTACTATAACATTGCAGATAACTTTTGAAATTTCTCCCATTGGTTTAGACTTTGTTATCAGATGACTTTGTAATTTTTAAAATAAATTTTATTTTGTATTTTTAATGTATGTACCCTAGTGAAGCAAATTTTTTAAAAAGAATTTTTATTTTTTTTTAAACCTTTATTTTGTTTGTTTATTTTTCTGTGGTGCTGAGGATAGAACCCAGTGTCTCATACGTGCAAGGCAAATGCTCTACTGCTGAGCCACAACCCCAGCTCTAGTGAAGCAAATTTAATATATTCATGATCTCACATAGTTACCCTTGTGGTAAAGCAGCTAAAATCTATTCATTTAGCACAAATCCCACAAATGTATGTAATTTAATATCCATATAGTTTGAACTCATGGTACCTAATTTTTCATTCAAGTTTGGTTATTTGGAAGGAGCTTTTAAGATCTTGTTAATGTCTAAAGTTGCCAAACAAGTAATTTTTAGTATATTACGTGTTACGGATAATATTAAGAAAGATAGTTTTGAAAGTCTTACTTTCCCTTTCTCTCTTTACTTTCTTCTCTTTCTTAATTCCTTTCCTTTTATCTCTTGCCTCTCTCCTAAGATCCTTTTAACTTTGTAGATAGAATCTTAAAAGTTATTTTCAAAAATTAAACCCAGCTGTAACTCCTGCTAATTGTAACATGTGAAGTATACTCTGTTTTAGGAGGACCTTATGATCTGTTTAAGTTGGCTTTTTCTTGTAATGATATTGGAATTTATTATTTTCTTTTTGTTGAAAACCTTTTCCTTATGTAAAGATAACTTATTATTTTAATTATTTTTTGCTATGCTTTTCAGGAGACTGGAGAAGCTGGGTGGTGGAAGGGTGAACTTAATGGTAAAGAAGGAGTATTTCCAGACAATTTTGCTGTTCAGATAAATGAACTGGATAAGGACTTTCCAGTAAGCTTTTGTTTTTCAATGATGATAATACTTTAACATTTTGCCAAAATTTTTTTCAAAAACAGGGTTTTTTTGCCTTATTATTGAATAACTTTTACGAAACAGTCCTAAAATATGTATTGAATTACAGTAAAATAATATTATAATTTTTCAATTCTATGCTTTATTCCAACCTCTCCCAGCCCTCACTGACATGTCTACCGAAATGTAATCTTAAGACTTCTTTTTAATTTTTTTTTGTACCAGGAACTGAACCCATGGGTACTTAACTACTGAGCCACATCCCCAACTCTTTTTGTTTTTTATTTTGAGATAGGGTTTTACTTAGTTTCCTAGAGCCTTGTTAAATTGCTGAGGCTGGCTTTGAACTCAATCTTCTTGCCTAAGCCTTTGAGCCACTGGGATCACAGGCATGTTCCACCATGCCCTGCTTAGATTTGTTTACTTCGTATTTTAAAAATTAAAAAAAAAAGCTTGGGTGTATTAATTGGATTAATTAGTACCCTCCTGGAAGAAACTTTTTAAAAAAAATTTGAGCCAGTGTTCTTGGTGTTTTGCCCTGGAACTCAAAATCCTCCTGATTATATACTTGTGCCACAACACCTGGCTGAAGGAAACTATTTACACTGAATGTTTTTGAGAAGCTTAATGTTGCTTAAAAGTACAGTAAAGCACAGTTTTTGCCTCCTTACAAGACCTAATGTTTCTCTGTCAATTCTCAGAATAAAGTAAGGCTGAGCCATGCATCAATGACTAAGGTAAAACTAAGTTCATATTTAGAAATGTGTCTCAATTTTTTTAAGGTAGTTAGTCGAAAAAATGAACGAATGCTTGTAAAAGAAAAAGAGGCCATTGTCTTTAACTTTCCCTTTAAGTTCAGAAGAATAAAGAGTGAAAACTAGATCTATTTATAATTTATCTTATTAATTTTTTTCAACAAGATCTCTCTTCCTCTTGTCCTGCTACACTGCCTTACTGCCTTGAACTGAGAAATATAGGTAAAATGGTATTTAGCAATCTTAAAGGTAGTGGAGATAAGAGGGAACACTTTGCTTATTAAGATTTTGGGGTTTATTGAATACATTGATAGTTTTTGAAATATTTAACTGGATTTTGATCAAGGAGATTATTTGTTCTAATGGAATAAATGTTTTTCAGTGACATTTTGTTAGGAGTTTAGCATTTTATCATTTTTGCAACAATGAGATGAGAGATATTTGTATAATTTAGATTATTAATGATCAGTATTTATTTTAACTATAAATATTTAATAAGTAACTAGCTAACCACTTTTGCCATTATTATTTTAACAGAAACCAAAGAAACCACCACCTCCTGCTAAGGGTCCAGGTATGTAAGAAACACAATGTTTAGTTTTCTGTTTTAAGTTCTAAAATGGTAAGAGTGTGCCTAATGTAAACCACTAATTTTATTAGCCAAATCAAGAATAATATATATAAGTTTTTCCAGAACTATATAAAAATTTAATGTTCCCATGCATTATTATTATTTTAAAAAGTAAAAATGGTATAAAATAGGTATATCTGGAAGATAATTTAGCCATTTAGTTATATGAAATACCTAATTAATAAAATTGATGGGATTTAAACCTATTTTAGAGAACTATGTATTGACTTGGCCAATTATTTATTCTACCTATTTATTTAGGTATTAGGGATTGAACCTAGGGGTACGTAATCAGTCAGCCCCTTCCTAACCCTTACCTTTTTATTTATTTTTGAATTACAAAATTCTTTGTACAACATATTTTATAATATAATAATGATTTTGAAAATGAAAAAAAATGAAGTCATATGTATATAATTATTCATAAGTATGTGAAATCAAAAGCCATACAATTATAAACATTAATGGGGCAAATCCAAGTAGAAATGAAGACATTCCCATACTTCACCAAGCATTATGTACAACTAATCTTTTAGTTGTTTTCTTTTGCATTTGTTCTGTATCCACATTCCGTGTATCTGATTTGATCTCTGAATTTCATTTTATGTTTTATGGTTTTGTCCATGAAATAATATCATGGCTATTGATCTAAGGGGTTGAATGTTTAATTTTAGTTCTTATGGAGCATGGAGAAACTTTTTACTCCACAATTCCAAATAGAACCTTCTGCCTTTTTAAGTAAAACACGTTACTATATGAAAAAAAATTAATATTTATGTGCTCTTATTTCAAAGTTGATGCTAAGAGTGAAGCAAGGTAGATGAAGTTTTTAAATTTTTTAAACAGTTGAATAAATATAATACACTAAAAGTGTCAAGTAAAAGTCTTATTAGAGTTTATTTCCATGATTTCTATTCTTAGATATCTGATTTAATGCAAGTGTAGTAAAACTTATATTTCCTTGAAAGATATGCTGTTTTTATAAACATTCAAGCCCTTCCCTACTCTTTGGTTTTAGCTTTATATTTGCTGATCTAATTCTAGAAAAAGCATAAATTTAAAGTAATTTTTATGGAAGTTTGTGTTGGAGGCTTACTTGAAAGCTGTACAATTCAATGTGGTAGTGACTAGCCACATGGTGCTTTTAAAATTAAATAAATAAGATAAAAAATTTAGTTTTTTATTCACAAAAGCAGCATTTCATGTACTCATTAGTCAAATATAAAACAACACAAAGTAGAACATTTTTACCAGCACAGAACATTCTACTGGACTAGGTGTAGCAGAGGTTATGAACTCTGATTTGACAAAGAAGGAAATAAAACCAGAGTTTAGGATAATGTTGGCAGGTTTAGGATTAGAAATTGAGCGAGATGATTCTTTGTTCTTTTGTTAAATCATGCATGATGTCATCTGTTTTTATTTTAAAACTACTATTTAGTTAAATATCTCTATGCTGTAAAATTATTTTTAAATAAGCATTCATTTTGTCCCTCCACTACCACCGTCCACCAGCTCCAAAGCCTGATCTCTTAGCTACAGAGAAGAAGTTTTTTCCTATGAAGCCAGAAGAAAAAGGTGAGACTGATTTTTCTACTTTCAAAACTAAAACATCTTTTTTAAATTTCATTTTATACAAATATTGATCTCCACAGTGGGTCATTTGTACTGACTTTTAACATGTGTTCATATTTACTTTGCCATGTTTAGAGTTTTCTGGGAGGCAGAAATTTACCAAGACTCACAGGAAATAAAACTTTCATTCATAAATTAATCCTTTTAAAAATTAAACCATGTCTTTAGGAGGATATAGTATTTAAACATAGTTTTTTTTCAAATAATATTTAAGACAGCTGAAGATTTAAAACTGACATAGTATTTATAGTATTTCAGTTAAAATTTTAAAAATTCCTTAAAAGGTATAAAGAAAATTTCTTCTAAAATATGGAAATAATCCTCCGGATCCACTGGGATTACAGGCACGTGCCACCGGCTTATAGATTTCTAATGTTTTTTTAAAGTCACTCCCCGCCACCCTAAACATTTTCAAGTGACTAAGTAATAACATTCCTATAACTCTAATAATAAAGTGAATATATGACAACAAATAAAGAAATATTCATCTTTAGACATAAGTTAAAATTTAAAAGAAAATTATTTTAAAATATGGAATATGCTATAAAAAATTTTGCCTTTTTTTTTTAAATACCAGGGATTAAACCCAGGGGTGCTTAACCACTGAGCCACATCACCAGTTGTTTTTTTTTTTTGAGACAGGGTTTTGCTAAGTTACTTAGGACTTCACTGGGTTGCTAAGGCTGTCTTGGAACTTTTGATCCTCTTGCCATGGCCTCCTGAGTTGCTAGGATTACAGGCATGTGCCACTATGCCTAGCTAACCATATATTCTTAAATAATTAGTCTGTATTACATAGGGATTGGAAATGAAGGTTAATTTTTTTTTTTTTAAGTTTGTCATGTGTTCTGGAAACCTTGGTATAATAAAGCATACTTTATTGTGAAATTAAAATCAAGATCAACATGTGAGAGGAAATATTATAGCTTTGAGTGCCTGCAAAAGAGAATCAGAAAGATCCCAAATAAGCAATCTAATGGTGTATCTCAAGGCCCTTGAAAAAGAATAAACCAATTTCAAAACCAGTAAAAGGAAGGAAATTAGATCAGCGCCTAAATAAATGAAATTTAGAATGAAAAGTAATACAAAATATCGATCAAACAAAGAGTTGGTTTTTTGAAAAGATCAATAGATTGATAAGACTAATCGAACCATCTAGTAGCTGGTTCCCTCCGAAGTTTCCCTCAGGATAGCTGGCGCTCTCGCACGAGAAACTGAAAAGAGACCCACGCAGTTTTATCCGGTAAAGCGAATGATTAGAGCTTGGTGCTGATAATGCCAAGGTCGCAGGTTCGTTCCCCAATGCCGCGGTCTGGCTGGGCACAATCAGGAGCCACTTGTCAAAAGACACTAACTTTATTTTTAGAACCACACACGCCAAACAAAACAGCCTCTCAGGAAAAACCCTCAGAGCCTCAACTGCCACCACCGGCTTTCCACAAGCCTCTCTCTCCCACACAAGCTTCTCTCCACCTCCCACAATCCTCCTGCTCTTGAGGCCGATTGGCTGGGTCACGTGGGCGGAGCCAAAAAAGTCCCCCATGAGCAGCTCCGTGGTCTGAAAGGGCAGGGAAACAGCCCAATGAGCATCACCGCAGAGGAGCCAATCAGCTAGATGTTGCTGGGGCCGCTGTGAGCCAATCATCAGCCGGCAGCTGGAAGTTTGCTGGCAGCTGGAAGTTTGCTGGGGCCCCTTCGGCTGTGGCTCTCAACACCCTCAGCCAAAAGAAAAAGAAAGAAAACCCATATTAACAAAATTAAAGATGAAAAAGGAGAAATTACCACAGACTTTGCAGAAATCCAGCGGATTATTGGGGCTCTTTTGAAAAGTTATACTCCAATAAGTTGGAAAATCTAGAAGAAATGGCTATGTTTCTAGACAAATATGACTGGCTAAAACTGAATCAAAAGGACATGGAAAGTTAAAATCCCATAACTAGCAATGCAATAGAAGTAGTAATAAAAAACCTTCCAACAAAGAAAAGCCCAGGACTAGAATGATTCTCAGCTGAATTCTACCAAACTTTTAAAGAGGAATTAATGCTAATATTCCTCAGATATTTCCATGAAATAGAAAGGGATGGAACAGTTCCAAATGTGCTCTGTGAAGCCAGTATCACACTTAGGTGTAAAATAGTTAATAAAATATTAGCAAATCATATTAAACAATATGTTAAGAAGATTGTACACCATGACCAAGTTGGTTTTATTTCAGAGATGCAAGAATGGTTTAATATATGTAAATCAATGAATGAAATTTATCACAAAAATAGAATTAAACACAGAAATCACTTAGTCATCTCAATAGATGCAGAGAAGGCCTTTGACAAAATTCAGCACCCATTCGTGATTAAAAATACTGAAGAAACTAGGGATAGGAGGAACCTACTTCAACATCATAAAGGCTATATATGAAAACCCAAAGTCAACCTCATGGTAAGTGGGGAAAAACTGAAAGCATTTTCTTTAAAATCTGCTACTAGGATGTTCATGTTCACCACTCCTATTTAATAATAGTACGAGAAATTGTAGCCAGAGCAATTAGGCAAGAGAAAGAAGTAAAAGGGATAAAAATAGGAAAGGAAGAGGTCAAATTATCACTGTTTGCAAATAATATGATCATATACCTAAAGAATTCCACCAAAATACTACTAGAGCTAATAAATTTGGCAAAGTAGCAGGTACAAAATCAATATACAAAAATTAATAGCTTTCCTATATACCAATAATATATCCTGTTGAGGAAAAATCAGGAAAACGATTTCATTCACAATAGCTTTAAAAAAAAAACAAAAACAAGGTACTTAGGAATAAATCTAACCAATGAGGTGAAAGACCTTTATAATGAAAACTATAAAACATTGAAGAGAGAAATTGAAGAAAAATTGAGAAGATGGAAACACCTTTCATGTTCCTGGATAAGCAAAATTAATATTGTTAAAATGACCATATTACCAAAAGCAATACATGGATTCAGTGCAATCCCCATCAAAATACCAATGATATTCTTCACGGAACTAGAAAAAGTGGTCCTAAAATTCATTTGGAAGAATAAAAGATCCAAAATAGCCAAAGAAATAAACCGAAAAAGCAGTGCTCGAGTTGTTACAGTGTGTGACTTTGAATTATAAACACAGAGCTATACTACCAAAAACTCCATGGCACTGGCATAAAAGCAAACACATACACCAGTAGTAGAGAATAGAAGACACAGAGACAAGCCCACATATCAATAGTCATCTTATCTTCAGCAAAGATGCCAAAACATAAACGTATATTGTCAAAAAAAGGCAGCCTTTTTAACAAATGGTGCTAGAAAAGCTGATTATCCTTCTGTAAAAGAATTAAGCTAGACCCTTAATTCTCACTCTGCATAGAAAGTAACTCAAATGGATCTAATATCCATGAATTAGAAAAGAAACTAGGAGAAAATGTAGGGTCAACATTCCAGCATATAGGCATAGGCAATGACTTTCTCAGTAGGACCTCTAAAGCTTAGTAAATAATGCAAAGTGTTAATAAATGGAAACACTTTTATATTGTTGGTAGGATTGTAAATCAGTATGAAGGTTTCTCAAAAGGCTAGGCATGGAATTACCATATGACCCAGCTATACCATTTCTAAAAAATTAAAAGTCATCTTGCTATAGTGCTATAGTGCACATGCTACCCATGTGCAGCACAGTTCACATTAGCCAAACTATGGAATCAGGCTAGGTGTCCATTAATGAGTAAATGAATAAAGAAAATGTGATATATACACATGGAGTTTTTATTCAGTCATAAAGAAAAATTATGTCATTCGCAGGAAAATTGTTGGAACTGGAGAGCATTATGTTAAGAGAAATATGTCAAACTCAAGGTTAAGGATTGTATGTTTTCTCTTGTGGAAGCTAGAAAGGAAAAAGGAAAAGAAAAGTGGTTGTAGATCTCATGAAAATCAAATGGAGATCAGTATAGGAAAAGTCCCAAAGGGTGGGAAATATCAAGAGAGGGGGGATGTGTTGAGGGGTGGCATTGGCCAAATCATGTTGTTATATTGTGTATTGTTTGCATGTATGAATGTGTAACAATAAATCCCATCAGTATGTATAACTATAATGCACCAACCAAAAATGTGGGAAAAAAATATCAGCATTTGTATATCCATTTAAAGGCATTTAGTATTGGAAGAACTGAATTCAAATCCTTATCTGGAACATAAGAAATAAAGAAATAAACCAAAAAAGCATTGCTCGAGGCGTTACAGTGTGTGACTTTGAATTATAAACACAGAGCTGTGATAGGACTTATATTTTTTATTTTGCTATATGCATTACTTCAGTTTCAATTGAAAAATAACATTGACCTTTTAAGGTAGTGAACAATATTTGTTTATTACGCTTACCTACTGATGAAACAGACTTCTAACTAAATATTAAATGTAAAATCACTAAGTATGTTTTTATAAGGCAAGTGGGTCTTTGCTAGTTACTATGAAGAATTTTTAAAAGTTTATTCTTCAGAGTAATAGTCTGATAATTGCTAGTTAAATATTTATCACAAGCTTGGAATCCTTTCTCTGGACTCATTGTACCCTCAGAATCTTTAATGTCTAGTTCCTTGTCATTTTACAGGTGCTGCTTTTTTGTTGCTACTCTATCCAAAAGTACAAATTTCTCATTGTCTGTTACAGATTAGTTTAGATGTTTATTTTGTGTTTGTTGTCTTTTTTCACCACACTTGACTAAACTCCATGAAATAAAAAGGGTTGTTTGTATATATCAGAACTTTATTTGCTATTGGTTGTTTGGCACCTGATGCAGACTTATAATGCATAGGGGATTCTCAATACAATATTTATTTAATAATTTGAAGGATTCTTAGAATTTAATGATTCCACAGCATGGAGTGTTCTTCTGAAACTTTATTCTAGTGTTCTAGTATGGATGGTGAAAGTTGTATGGGTTTTTTTTTTTTTTTTTTAAAAAGAAGCTGAAGTGTTTTCAAACCCAAGAACAGAAAATTGTTATTCAGATTGACCTGAGGAATAAGGAATCAATCTCACATAATTGAAAGTTCAGAAGACTTATGTGATCTGCCTCTCAGTAATTTCATTATAGACCTGTATGATATTTCTCTTTATATTCTTTCATCCTTATTGTCTACTTTGTCTTTAGATTGGCTTCCCTAGTGGTCACAGGAATGCTGATAGTGAAGAATTCATCTGTTTGACATGAAAGAGAGGAAAACATCTCTCTAACCATGGAATTAATTCTTTTTTAATTTTGTGGATCATTTTGGGGCACATGTTCACCTGCAGATCAACAAGATGTGTAAAAGAATGCTGTGAACAATTAGTTTAGTGTAATCATAAAAAGTAGGGTACATTTGGATGAATCAGTTACATTGTCTGTTAAAAATGTTGAGATTTATTTAGGGTCTATCAATAAGGAAACAATTCAGGTGTTCTACATTAGAGTGGTTTGTTGACTAATCAATCTTAATATTTTAAGGAGGGGAAAATCAGATAGGTTGTATGAAAAGGAGACTAGTTCTGGAGTAGAATAAGGTTGAGTTCAGTTATTTATTTAGCAGGTGTTATCCTGAAGGTTAGTTATTAAATTTATGAATATGGGTAAGATTGTTCAATAAGATTGCTTAGAGTAAATATAGCAAGAGAGCTTAGCATAGAATCTTAAAATAGGTCCCTGTAAGATGTTCTTCTGTGAACTGAGACTCTTGAAAACAGATGGGGAGTAATCATAGAGATAAGAAAAGAATGATTAGAGAGTCCTATCATAAAAGCAAAGGAAGTACATATAATTCAAAGTTGAAATAAGGGGTTCTTTTGGCAATGACAAACGAAGATCAATCTCTTGCTAACAGCAGCTAAAATTGTTGTTTGAAATAAATAAATATATATATATTTATATTATTTCAAACAACAATTTTATATATATCATAAGCACCAAGTAACCTGTTTCTGAATTCAGATCTGTACAGTGTGAGGTAGAGGTGAAGATTTATTTATTTATTATTTATATGTCAGTCATCTTTTTTAGATGTTACATATGAGTGAGATTATGTGATACTTGTTTTTCTCTGCCTATCTTATAAAAGGGCATGTTTTAATAGCATCCTTATATTTTAGCTGTTTTTTTAGTGAAAAATATTTACATACTTAATGATAATTACTACTTCTTTTCCATATCTTAAATTATCTTAACATCTGTATCTTAGATAATTTTTCCTTGGGCATTCAGATAACTAACTTAGGAATATTTTTTAAAAATATGAATTTCCTTTTTGTTTCAGTGAATTTCTAACTGGACCAAAATTCTCACAGTTGGGATAGCTACATGCAACAGAATAAAGTTGAAACCCCACCTCACACTGTATATAAAAACTAATCAAAAGTGGATCAGTAACCTAAATATAAGAGCAAAACTCTTGGAAGAAAACATAGGGGTAAATATTCATGACCTTGAGTTTGGCAATGGATTCTAACATACATGTGATATTGTAATACAAGAAGGAAATATTTGATTTATGTTCCTGACACATAGCTCGTAAAACCATTGGAATCTCATGAGTGATAATGGTGATTGGTGCATGATTTGTTAGTTCATAACATATTTTTCATCCACACGTGAGCTTAAATTCATAAACTTTTTTAAAGCCTATAAGAAATGGGAGCTGGCTGCCCAGGGAACCAACCTTATGATTATAGTGTTGAAACTTTTAGCCCCATCACCTGACCTCTAGGGAGGGGATAATGACTAGAAATTGAGTTAATCACCAATGGTCAATGATGTTCTGAATCATGCTGTCCTAATGAAATTGCCATCAGAAACCTTAAAGGTGAAGTTTGAAAAGTTTGAAGTTTGGGTTGGTAAATAAATACATTGAGGTGCTGGAAAGGTGGGATACACTATTCTAGGCATGGAAACTCTGTGCCTCTTTTCACATACCTTGCCCTGTAACATTATCTCATCTATCTGGCTGTTTCTGAATTGTACCCTTTATAATATTGGTAAATATGAAATAAAGTGCCTTCCAGAGTTAGGTGAGCCATTCAGCAAATATCAAACTTGAGGAGGAGGTCATAGGAACCTCTAATTTATATCCATTTAGTTGGGAGCATGAAAGGGTTGGACTTGCAGTTGACATCTGAAATGGAGGTAGTGCTAGAGGACTGAGTCCTTGGTTTGTGGGATCTGTTCCAGGTGGGATTTTAGGATGCTAGCTGGTATTGGTTGGTATGGGAATAAATTCTACATATTTGATGTCAGAGCATTATTAACAGAAATAGTTTGTACTTTATACAATCTGACACCTAAAGCACATTCAACAAATAAAAATTAACTTGGACTTTATCAAAATTAAAATTTTTGTGCATCAAAGGCCATTATTAAAATTGGAAAGACAACCTCTAGAATGAAAAAGTATTTGCAAATGATATCTGACAAAGATTTATATGTGGAATATATAAAGAAATATTACAACTCAACAACAGAAAAACATTGAAAGTGGGAAAAACACTGAAATAATTATTTTCCTAAAGGAGATATAAAAACAGCCGAAAAGCACATGGCCAAGATATTTAACATCTTCAGGGAAATGTAAATAAAAACCACAATGAACGAGCTGCCACTTTATGCCCACTAGGATGACTATAATTTAAAAAAAAAAAAGGAAAATAATATGTTGGCAAGGACATGGAATAATGAGTATACATTGCCTATGCTAATATAAAATGGTTTTGTGGTTGTGAGCAAAGTTTGATAATTCTTCAAAAAGTTAAGTGTAGGATTACTATATGACCCGACAAAAGAATTGAAAATAGGTATACTTATACTTGTACCTGAATGTTAATTGAAACAATCAAAATGTCCTTCAAGGTATATCAGATTGTTTTATATACATAAATGCTTCAATAAGGATGAACCTTGAAAATATTATGTTAAATTTGAACTAAAGGTTATATGTTGTATGATTTCACAAGTCGGAAATAATTCAGAATTGGTAAATTCATAGAGTTTGAAGGCAGATAACTGATTGTTAGGAATTAAATGGAGGGGTGAACGGTGAGTAATAGATTAACAGAAACTGTTCTTTTGGAGTAATAGAAGTGTTTTAGAACTCTGTAAAGTTGATAGTTGCATATCATTGTAAATATATGAAATGGTACTGAATTGTTCATTTTAAAATTATTGATTTTTTTTGTTATGTTAATGTCCTCAACAACAACAAAAATAACATAAGTACTCAAGTACATTGCCATTGTATTATTAGTAATATAGTCTTGGACATACCAGGAATAATTAATCTTTTTCTTTGTTTTGATTTCCATGAATATTAAGTGTGGTTGTTTTTTTTTGGGGGGGGGGTTGTTTTGGAATTACACACAAAACTATTTTCAAGTTATTTGTAAATCTGTTAAAATTAGTGAACTCTGTTTAGCCTTTGACATTTTTTCTTTGATATTATTTCTTTATCCCTTCACCCTTTCCTCTCTCCCCCAACATTAGGATCCTGTGCTTGCCAGAAAACACTCCCTCATTGAGCTATACCCCATCCTTTCCTGGTTATTTTTTATAAAATGTTTTTCTTATATTTTCTGAAATATCAAGGAAAGCTCTATTTGATTAGGGTCAGAATTAGGTATAATTTTTTATGCATTGTTATGTCTTGAGGTCATATAAAAATAGGTATTTGTACTAAATGATAATCAGTTTCAACGGACTCATATTTTTCACAAGAGCCAAGGGAGTTATTAAGTAAATGGTAAGACTGAGGCAATAGTATTTTGTATTTTTTTGTTGTGAGGTGAAACTTATAATTTTAAAGGAGGAGTTTTTACCATGCCCTGTGGTGTTTCTTCAGGTTTGATGACCACCAATTTCTGATAGGAAATTTCATAAAATTGTTTGTGGTCCTCTGATAGATAGTCTTTTCAGAGACCAAATAAACTTCAAAGAAGAGGTAGAATCATTCAGTTTTGCACTAAATAGTTTCTTATTTTTGGAAATGTACCTTATGATACGTTCTAACTGTTGTATCATGAATTTGAATTATATGTGCACATATGTGAGTTTTTAATACTTATTCTTAGTACCTGAAAAAGTATATGTAGCACCAAAGAGTGTTCAATGCCTTTTTGGTGATAAAATTTTTATTAACAAGGCATGACATTATTCTTAATATTCTTTATTCAGCATATTCTTATTTGTCAGATGGATTTATTACATGAAACAGGGCTAATAAAATTCCTAGTACAGTAGCAAGAACTGTAAATATAAGCCTGTATTCCTTCATGTGGCTAATTGGCCTAGTGTCACTTTTTCTTAGCATTTGATCTGTTTTTTTTTTTTTTTTTTGTCTTTGCCATCATTATGATTTTTAAATCAGAATTTTATATGGTACTACAGTTCTTTTTTGTTTTTAGTTCCTTATACTTCCATTTCAGAAAATAATCTGGCTCAAGTCTAGATAATTTTCTGCTTGTAGTTCAATTATATGTGGTATATTTGAGAAAGAATATCACCCCCTAAAAGCAGAGGATTCTGGGAACATAATTAAAAGCAGGCATTATTTGTTAATCAGAAGGTTATTAATGATTTCTGTCCCAACTAAAGGAAACTTTTTTAGTTACATGATGCTTAATAAAGTGTAACTTTAAAACAAATGAAATAATGCACTTACATATGGTTATAGAAAATGAGTTCATGCCTATGGCTGCCTTACAGTAGTTGCAATAAATAGAGAAACCTAAATAGTTTTGATTGTTAATAACTTGTTAAATATTTTTAAATCTTCAGATGAAAAAACACTGGAACAGAAACCTTCTAAACCAGCTGCTCCACAGGTCCCACCCAAGAAGCCTTCTCCACCCACCAAAGCCAATAATTTATTAAGATCTCCTGGAACAGTTTACCCAAAGCGACCTGAAAAACCAGTTCCCCCACCACCTCCTGTAGCCAAGTAAGTTTTACCTAATTTTAAATTACTTATTGATTTACCTGCCTTTGACCTAACTGAACTCTATTGCCTTTTTAAATCTCAAAAGTAATTTTTAAAGTATTGTTTATATTTCCTCAAAAGACTATAATAGTGTTCTTAATTGTTATACTCACAGTAGGTGAATACACTCAAACTATATTTACATTTCTTATTTTATTGTGAACACTACTGTAGTAGAGGTTTACTTTTATGGAAATAGTGTTATAGAATAGAAAGCAATCTGTCTTATGTTTATACAGTCTTTAATGTCACCAAATCCCTTTTTTTTTTTTTTTGTTACTGAAGATTGAACACGGGGTGCTTAACCACTGAGCCACATCCTCAACTTGTTTTTGTATTTTATTTAGAAACAGAGTCTTGCTGACTTGCTTAAGGCCTCACTAAATTGCTAAGGCTGGGTTTGAATTCACAGTCCTTCTGCCTCAGCCTCACAAGTCGCTGGGATTATAGGTGCCCAGCACCAAATCACAATTTTTTAAAAAAGTTGTTTTTCAGTTCAAGTGATTTTGTATGTTCGTTTTTCTCATTTCAGGATCAATGGAGAAGTTTCTACCGTTTCATCAAAATTTGAAACTGAGCCAGTATCCAAACCAAAGCCCGAATCCGAACAGTTACCACCTAGACCAAAATCAGTGGACCTTGATTCATTTATAGCAAGAAGTTCTAAAGAAACAGGTAAGTCATCATGGAAGTAGGTAGTACATTAAAAGAAGTAATCAAAGGAATCTCAGTTTTTAGGAACTAAGCAGTGTATATGCAATTTTTGTGTAGATAGTTATAGTGGAAATTCATTGAAATTTTCTTAAATGTATTAACCAAAGTATAAAAATAAAGAAGATAAATGGTCAAATCTTCATGGTTCTTATTGATCAGAAGGTTCCTACTGATGATAATACAGAATTAATAAGTTTTCATAGTGTTCAAAAGACTGAAATCCATGTTAAAAGCTCATTCATCTTTTATTTCTTTCCTTTATAATAAAATGACCATATTACCTAAATCAGGCACCTATAAATGCAGTTTAGTTTTAATAGTTAAAAAATAAGATGACACAGGCTCTCAGTGCCGAACTAGCTTATATTTAATAAGACTTTTTAGATATTTCCTCTTAATCTGGGGATACTTTTTTTCCAATATAGGAAGTCATGTCACTTTTTTTGCTAAATATTATTTTGTAAGCTTTAGGACTGACTAAAAAACATGTTCCTCGTTTTTTATACTGTATGAATTGAAAAATTAAAAACTTAAAACAGGTGTTTTGATAAAGGTGTCTCTATTAAAAGCTTTATATAATCATTATAATAATTTGTGGTAATGGTTATTATTTTGTATAGTGCTTGCAAAATTAGTTTTTAGTTTTTTATATTTTTCAAAACACTTTTTTCATGTTTTTATTTTATCTTTACAACGTAAACTCTAGGAAACAGATGCTATTTTTCTCTGTTTAACATTTAAACAGTAAGCTATAGACATATCAACTACATACAATTACATAAATCAAAAGAGAACTCTTTAAATTCCTTTTCTATAAAGTGCTCTGTGATATTCTTTTTAAAAAAATCTTAATGTCTTAATGTATTTGTTTTTGCTCCCGTGTTAACATTTTATGAACTTCAAGTTCAGTTACGTTTAGATTTTTTTTCCCACTGTATTATATTTACATTTCAAACTTTTTTCCAGGTGATCTTATTTTTCTTCTGTCTTTTCAGTTTGCCAATGCAAAGCCTCTGTCTTAAGTGTTACCTCCTTTCAGTCTTTTGAATACTTTATAATCCATTTATTTGGATATTAACTGCCCTTTATGATGCTGTATTCATTAATCATTTCTGGGAATTGAGGTGTTGATTATAGGTTTGAGAAAGTCTTGAAATATACTTAGTATTTCTTATCTGGTAAAAATTAACTTATTTACTATTTTAATAAAAATGAAAAAAGTATTTTTAAAAAATCTTTATCTTTTTATTATGGAGCTTAGTAGTTAAAAATGGATTCTTGTCAGCTCATATTTTTCCATTTGATTTAAAATATAGCCAGAAAAGTGTTTTCTAAAAATAATCTTTAAAGAAAAAAAAAAGGTTGTTTACACAATTTTAACTTTCAAAATAAGTTAAAAAAAAACTATTAGTATTATCTTTGAATTTTCATAATTTTCTACATTCTTGATCAGAAAATACTTAAAATTTTGGTGGAGTCCTTTGGGGATTAAAGTAATAACATTTAGAATCTGTATTTTTTTTGGTGGTTGTTGTTATTTGTATCAACTTTTGCTTTATTTAGTTAATTTCAAAGTAGTGAAAAAATCTTTTAAAATTTAGATAAAACTAATTTTCACATTTTTCCAAGACTTTTTCTAAGTATATTCAACAACAAACATACTTTGTTTTTTTGCATTTCTGTTGGAAATGATATATATAAAATTATTTCAAACTGTTGGTGATTGGAAAGTTTTAGTTTTTAACTTTGTTTTTGTTCCATTTTTTGCCTCATTGACATAGTGGTTATTTATTCTTTATGTAAAGAAAGAGGCTTTGTGGAACAGAGTTTGAATATTTCTAATTTCTGTTTTTAAATTTTTTTTAATAAATAAGGAAATAATGTAAAGATGCTAAGACTTACACAAATCAGAAAATTAGCAGCTAATTTCCAAGCAACTGTCTTTTATTTTGCTCACAAAACTAATTTTGGCATAAAACACTGTTATCCTGCAAAGTTTAGAAAATATAAATTTGGGGAATTTGAGTTTATATTAAGTAGCAAATGTTTACTAAACAATTGCTTTATTCCCAGAAAATATTTTTAGATACTGGTAGTATGCTAAGATAAAAGAGTTGCTGGTTGGTCATGGTGCTGCAGGCCTGTAATACCAGTGGCTCTGGAATCTGAGGTAGGGCTATCACTGAGTTCAGAGTTGGCCTCAACACTTTAGCAAGGCCCTAAGCAACTCAGCTCAGTGAAATCTTGTCTCTAAATAAATATATACATAAATGGGCTGTGATGTTGCTCAGTGGTTATGGGCCTCTGGGTTTGATATCTCATACAAAAAAAAAAAAAAGACATAGTTGTAGGTGGTAAACAGCTTATGTCCTAAACATTAATTCTTTCCTTGTATACTATTTTCCCCCATTAGAATGTCATATGCTCCTAGTATAGGTTAAGTATCCCTTATCCAGAATGTTTGGAACAAGAAATGCCTTAAGAGTTTATTTATTTATTTATTTATTTTGACATGGCAGGGGGATGGCGGGCGAGGGGGATATTTACATATACATAATCCCTTATCCAAAATGTCTGGAACTAGAAATATTTTGAATTTCGTTTTGGAGGGGTGTATTTAGAATATTTACATATGTATAATGAGATAGATATCTTGGAGATGGGAACCAAAGCAAATTATAAGATTCTTTTATGTTTCAAATATTTGGTATACATGTAGCTTTGAAGTAATTTTGTACAGTATTATCAATAAATCCATGTTTTGGCTGTGACCCATTACATGAAGTCTCCTGCAGAAATTTCTACTTGTGAGTGGCATCATGTTGATGCTCATTAAAAAGTAGATTTTTTTTTTTAGTGTATTTGATTTTGGGGTTTTGGATTAGGAATAGTATATCTGTGCTTGAAATATAAAAGTATTGTTCTAACTCTTCTGTGAGTTATTAACACTTCTTAAAAAATTGTTTTAGTTCAAGTACAGCTTTAAATTTCGCATGAGGTTTATGTAAATTTCATATTTTCTACTTAGTTTGAAGATATACCTTTTAAGAATAATGCATAAAACTAATTCATAATTTACAGAAAATGTAAAACATATGAAACCAGCTTATTGACATTTTCAGTTAAAGTAATAATTTGAGGTAAAAGATATAGTAGAAATGATATAGTATAAAGTATACTGACTTTGCTATTTTAAAAAAGTGGGTTTTATTATTGATAAGTTTCTCCTCAAAATCTGTTTTCTTACTTAGCTAACATTTTATGATTCAGTACATCTACTAATACCCATTAGAACACCTGGTATGGAAATCTGTTCCTTCTTTAATTTATAAAAGGCATATGGCCCTCATTTTATTATCACATAAAATTGTCCTGTTTATATAAAATTACATATAAACATTTATGTCTTTATATATAATACTAATTATATATAGATATACACACAGATTCTGACTTTTGTACATGTAAGAAAGTCACTCCTAGAATAATATTTTCTTTTCCCATTTTTAATGGCATGATATAACTGAGTTCCCCCTTGTATGTTCTCATATATTATATAGCACTACAAATTACAGAGCTACTAAGAACTATATTTTAGTGGGTTTTTTTTTCATTTTTTCAAACACTATATTAAAAATTAGTTTAAGGAAAATCTCACTGACACTGCTAGTCATTTATAAAGTTCACAAAGTCCACATATTTTTAAAATAATGAATTTTTCTAAAATACTTCTACAATAATAAATTTTCTGAGAAGTAAATTATTTTCAGATTAGTTTTAAAATACTAGAGACTTTAGTACTAACATAGCTGTTACATTTAGTTCAGCTGATGAGTTACCTTTACAGTGTAGTATTTTATCTTTTTTGATTTTTTTTTTTTGATAAGTTCTTCCAGGATTAAAATGAAATGTTATAGAAGGGAGACCAGTGTAGTAGAGGAAGGCAATCAGGGGAAGGTAGGAGGAGAGGGAAGAGCAGGTACTGGAGAAGGAAATTGATCAAATTTTATTATGTGGATATATAAATATGTCACAATGAACCCCATGATTATGTATAATTCACTAATAAAAATACATTTTAAAATAAATGAAATTTTAGAAAACATAAGTTCTTCATTCCCAAAGCAGTCATTATGGAATAAGGAAGCATTCTCTCCTTTCCATTTTATTTTATACTTGATCTCTTTTTGTGTGAATTACTTTCCAAATATTAACTGATTTCTTTCTTTCAGAAAGAATTTATGGTGGGATTTTTATAATAAGGTTCTTATTGAGTAGAGGATGCTATCAAAAGTGAGTCTCTTATCTAAACAAGGATTAAAAAAATTAGTTTCTAATAATAGTTTCCTCGATTATATTATAGAAAGTATCACTGATTAAGGCCTTGGTAAATTTTTATTTATGTATGAAGATATTTTAAAGGTTGTATTGAATTTTTATAGTGAGATATTTTTAAAATAATATTTGTAATTTTTATTTTATAATATCATAGAATTAAAGTTGCCTCCTTTATTGTAATTTCTGTATACACCAAAGACTAGAATTGACTGACTGAAAGGTGGTTTAATTTTAGTTACAATTATTTTATGAGATGTTAATATTGATTTATAAAACTGGCCTCTTAAAGTATTGTGCCATTCTTTTAAAAACTATCTTTATTTTTTTAGTGAGTAATAAAACAAGGCATCTTTCTAGTTTAATGTGTATTGATATTAATACTAATCTTAACTTTTTCTTTTGAATGACCCAGAAATCTAAAAATCTAATACATATCTTGTGTAAGTTTACATAACCTGCAGTAGCTATATGCTAAACATTGAAATGCTTCTATTCATTCTACAACTGTTCCTTTTTCCTGCTTTGTGAAATAATTTTTTTGGTTTAGTCTTTTTTCTAGACATTCCTATCCTTGACTTTTCTTTCCAGATTTTGTTTCCTAGCCTGTTTGCCATGTTTTCCTTCTTACGTGTCAGGAAATTATCCTACCCTTCTCCATTTTGGTAAGATAACAACTTATAAAAGAAATCAAAATAGTACATTCAGTATAAATAGGTGGTGCACATTGATTTTTTTTTCTTTATAATTTTACTGAAAGTGTACATGTCTGTCTGTCTATTCTAACCCTTTTGGTTTTCCATTTTAAAATAAAATGAAGTTCATTTTGGAAAATTTTTCTTGATTACAGCCTAAAATATTCCTGTAACAAAGATTTTTTAAAAATTTCAAACCTTGGCAACCATAAAAATCAGGTTATTTGCTCCTAAAATTGGAGATTTCACTTGGCTTTTTAAAAACGTTCCATATCTTCCTACCAACATGCAAAAGCACAAGTAGTTGTCAGAGTGACGAGGTGTAATTACAAGAGTTAAGTTATGGTCATGCCTTTTGTGCCATTTGTATAGTGTAAATCCATTGTTATCACTTTTATGTAAACTTAAAAGCATTTAGATATATTATGAGTCAAAAATGTGCACTGTTCTGTATTACTAACATAATGGCATAAATGGAGAACCTGAGAGAGTTTTAGAATGGTGAAATTGTCTTGGTGTTGTAGTCCCCAAACTGGACATTTGGAAGGCCTATTATATAAGCATGGTGTATTTTGTAAATCTACGTTTATTTACCCTTCGTTTTCATTTTTAATTTCTTCCATGTTTTTCTGTTTTCTTTCTACAAGTTGCTTAAATATGCATTTGAAAATAATCTTTACAGGCCAAAATGATTGATTTTTATTTTTCAAAGTGTTTTGTGGGCTATCAGTGTACATTTGTCAGTGTAAAAAGAAATTTTTACCCAACTGTATCCTGTTCTTAACATTCTTTTTAAAAAATACTGATTTTTTCAAGATATTTACAAATATATAGACAGCATCCACCTGTAATCCCAGCTACTTGGGTGGCTGAGGCATAAGGATTACAACTTTGAGGACAGTCTACCAATTTAGTGAAATCTTGTCTCAAAATAAAAAGGGCTAGGTTGTAGTGCCATGGTAGGGTACCCTTAGGTTCAATCCCCAGTACCACCAAAGCAAAACAAAACAATTATTTACAGATAGAATGACCTTTATATAAGTAAATATTTAAATTACACCTTTTTTAGATTATATAATACATTTTCCACTGCAGTCTTTATTTCTTGCTATGACTTGTTATATAGTTACAGTCACCAAAAGACTAAAAAATTAACCTTAATATATTGCAGTGTCTGTTGTGATACATTATCTTAGTGACTTGATCAAAGAGAGAACACACAATGTAATCTATAGAAAAACATTAGCAATAATCAACCAATGTTTCCAATTTTAAAACACATATTGCCAAACAGTGATGCCTCTTTTTTTGCCTTACATTTGTGTCACTTATTCCTTAATACAAAATTTTAAAAATTATTTTTATATGAAATTTGATGAATTAAACATTGAGGGTGATGATGAATATTTTAAGCAATAACAAATCACTGTTGCAACATCGTAGTATCTAACAAAGTATTATAACCATCCAGGCAAATGCCAAAGGGGAGAAAAAAAATCCAGGCCTGGAAAATTAGGATATCTGCTGCCATTTGGCTGTGGTTAATATCCCTGGCTTGGAATCTGGGTTAAATCAAGGTAATAAGTAACAATGGAAGTATCAGGAATTACTGCTAGGGTTCTTTTATTATATATAGATACCCGGGCTTCAGAGTTACAACTACTTCTTTAGCATGATTTTATGGATTATCTAGGAAAAGGCAAGTTAATGCATACCATTCTTTCAGAGGTATGACTTATACTAGATTCTTCTTTAAACCCAAATTTTTGGGTCAAAGATCATTCAGCCTTTGATGGTAGAGAAGCAGATTGATCTTTATAGCATTTTCCTTTGGTATTTGATTTGCCTTAGATTTATAACTATGTTATGATTTCTACAAATGGTAATGTTTAAGCATAGATGCTAAACAGTTTTAGTTCTAACTGTAACATCCCATATGAAGACATGTTAAATCATACTTTTGGCCTGTAATCTCAGCAGCTTGGGAGGCTGAGGCAGGAGGATTGCAAGTTCAAAGCCAGCCTTAGCAACTTAGTGAGACCCTGTCTCAAAAAAATAGAAAGTGCTGGGGATGTTGCTCAGTGGTTAAGCATGCTTGGGTTCAGTCCCTGGTACCAAAAATAAATAAATCAGTAAAAATCATACTTTCGCTTTACACTGAAAAATGCAAATGGAGAGCAGCAAGGTGCCAGATACACTTGAATCCTTAAAATTTGAATATCAGTTCACTACGTTAAGTTTAAAATAAATTTTATGATGTTGTAATTAATTAGAAGTTTTAAGTAGATCATTTTTTTTAATAAGCAAGAACTTCAGATGATAGTTTCTGTGTTACTACAGTTTATGGTACAGGTTTATCTTTAAATAGAAACTTTTTGTTGAAGTCTAAATATCTATTGAAAACATAACCCTTATTGTTTATAAAGTCTTGTACTATAAAATGTATTAAGTAAAAAGAATGTGTCTTAAGGGTGTTGTTTTCCAAATGCATATGAAAAGCACAGGTCAACTTGTTAGTCCTTCAAAGTAGTGGTACTCTTTTTGTTCAAAAGCCAGAAACATTACTTTTTACCCTTTAAAAGGTACAATTATATCTCAGTAGACAATATTTATTTTTATTCTCTAGATGTTGTAAATTTTGATGACATAGCTTCCTCAGAAAACTTGTTACATCTCACTGCAAATAGACCGAAGATGCCTGGAAGAAGACTGCCTGGTCGCTTCAATGGTGGACATTCTGTGAGTTACACTTAACTATAGGAAAACTCAGAAGATTTAGCAAATACAAAGTCCATTTGAAGATGAGAAAATGAGAGGTTTTATAGCTACATCTAAATAAATCAGGAAAGGCACCTCTTACAGTCAAATGGCAAATGCTGATGTATAAGAAAATAACAAGGAAAGAGGTATGTTCTTCAGTATGGTCTGGAATAGATTATTTGTTATGAGACCATAACCACACAGCCCAGGGTCAAATGAGGACAGGGAACCTGTTCAATCTACTAATCTAACAATAGTGATCAAGATTGAAAAGTGGAAGATAACTCATTTTAGGGTAAAATGAGAATTTTTTTTCTTCGGAAATATTCAGGATTTTTTTGTAGCACGTGTCCTATTATCTAAGTAACTTGTTATTATGCTTTCTGTTTTTTGCCTGGAATACAGGTTGTACTTTAATGATAATATATTAACTTGTATTTACTATGATGTTTTTAGCCTACTTAAGTGGAAAAAATTTTTGTTGCTGTGAGATGAGTTATTCTTGCCCTCAAGATACGCAAATGTGTTATTCAGCTTGAAGTTACATAATATCTTTTTAAGAGTAATGGAATAACAAGAATAGTAGCAAGTGAAGTAGTATAAGTAATTTTCTTTATTATCCAAATGCCTACTACTAGTTTCCTTCTTTGATTTGTTTTGTTTCTTGATTTCTAAAAAAATCATCTAGCCAACTCAAAGCCCAGAAAAAACTTCGAAGTTATCAAAAGAAGAAGATAGTGCCAACCTAAAGCCATCTGAATTTAAAAAGGATACATTCTACGTTCCAAAGGTGAGTCACATTTGTATGGTTTTCAGGATTCTTTGTGAACATCAGAATTATAGAATTTAGTATATTTTCTAAAAATTATTTCTTCTGCCAAGAAATAAAATAATTTTTTTGAGGAATTGAATTGTTAATCTTAAGTCACACTGTTCTCTAGTGATATTTTTAGAAGAGCTTATATTGTTTTTAAAATTAATAATATTACTTATTTCATATTTTAAGGCATAGATTTATATATCTGTTTCATTTTCTTATTAAACATATACTCTGAAATTGTCTAGTCCACATACTTTTAAAAGAGGGATAACATTTAATTAGATCAGAAACCATTATTTCTTTACTCTTTCCCTAGCTTGGTTGTTGGCACCATAATTAAACACTCAGTATATACTGGAATGAATGGCAAAATACATGGATCCTTCTGTTACACGGTCTTAGGTATCTTTTCTAAACTTGTGCTGTTTTTATTTAAAATATTTTTACCACAACTGACACATATACTTAAAAAGGTCACATCTCCTCCTAAGTTGTTCCTTAGTTTTATTACACGGCATTTGGATACATTTCCAATTTATTAAATACAATTAAATCTCATTCTCTAAGCAGTTGACAATCCATTGAAATTTTACTAAAATGGCTTTGTTGTTTTTTTTGCTACAAAAATGATTCCAGTATGTGGATTCATCTTAATGCTGCTTCCATGATCAGTCTAAAGTTTTTCATGATTACTTTTAAGTCAGCCTCTTTAGATATTCTAAATGATATGTGTTTAATATGGAAGATCAAGTAACACCTTATTAATACTGATATATTCTTGCTTTTAGATTCTCCAGTAGGCACAGCATCCATAAGATAAATTTGATGGATTTTTTTGGTTTGTTTCTCCTTTTTAAAAACAAAGCCATTGCCATATATTTCTTCAACAAAACCCACTAGTTGTTGCAAATTAATTCTTTAATTGTCTGTTGTTTTTTTCCAGTCAGGAACATCAAACTGTTTCTTGAATTTTCAAATTTACCGTTATCTTGGAGTACAGGTTACCAAAATGCTAGTGACCAGAAGTGTTTCAGATTTCCAGTTCTTTTGTATTTTGTAATATTTGCAAGTATACAATGAGATATCTTGAGAATGGGACCCAAGATGAAGTATAAAATTTATTTGTTTTATGTACTTCTTGTATACAAAGCCTGAAGATAATTTTATACAGTAGTATGACTACATTTTGACTTAACCCATTATATAAAGTCAGGTATAGAATTATTCACTTGTGGAAAGTTGCTTCTCAAAGATTTGAACTTTTGAGCATCTTGGATTTCCAGTTTTCAGGTCTGGGTTGTTCAGTCTGCATTGTTATTTTTAAACATCTTTTGCTCTAAGTATCTACTTAAATGTAATATACATTTATATATACAAATAAGATCAGAAGAAACTTTAATTATGTTTTCAGCCATCTGTCTACCTTTCAACACCTTCAAATACTTCTAAAGCAAATACATCTGCCTTCCTAACTCCATTAGAAATAAAATCTAAAGTAGAAACAGATGATGGCAAAAAAAATTCCCTAGATGAACTTCGCGCCCAGATTATTGAATTGCTGTGTAGTGTAGAAGCACTGAAAAAGGATCATGGGTAAGTAACCTTTGTTTTCTTCTGTGAGTACTACCTAGTACATATGCAAAGAATTCTTTCAAAGTGTATTAAATAAAGATCTGTTCTGCCTGTTTCTGGTATAAGAAAATTTTCATTAAAGGTGCTTTTGATAAAAACTTGAATTGGAAAACTTGTTCCAGTATGTTAGTCCTGGAATAGATACATGTAAACCTCTAAGTTGGACTAGAAATCTTCTGGTCAGACATAGGAGTTAAATGGTCTTGAAAAATATGAGGAAAATCATATTGTATTTTAGGGTCAGGTATATATGTATAGTTGAATTTCTGAGAGGGTTAGGATAGGTGATCTCTAAAGCCTTTCTCTTAACTCTGAAAGTTTTTGATAAGGTGTACAGTTGGACATCCCTAATTGAATGTGAGAGACTTTGTAGAGCTTAAGTACATGTAAAAGATCACTTACTGTAGCCCTCTCTATTTTTTAAAATGAAGAAATAAAGGTTCAGAGAAGTTAAGCTATTTACTTATTATACAGCTTTTTAAAAGACAGAACTAAAACAACCCTCAAGTCCTCTATTATTTTAGAGATCTTTTCTATTAAAACTAGTATTTGAATTCTAAAACTTGGTATTTTAAACATAATACTGCAAAATATCAAGGTAAAACAAATAATTGAGTCACTAATCTATTTGAACTTAGAACGATGGTGCTCATCCCCTTACATCAATATCCTTTCTAAAAGAATCTGTATTTTTAGAATATAAAATTCACAGCCAGAGGCCATGTTACCCAGGACCTAATTTTAACCATTTCTTGTTCAATTCTCACGTGGCCTAGTATTCTTTATAAAAAAAAAATGTAGTGAGATTAATAACATGAGGTATTTGTAGTTCATAGAACATTTATTACCTCTTAGAAACAAAAATGTATCTTGAATAACTACTTAAAATATGTGTGCATGTATATATTTATATATATTATATACTTTATGTACATAATATATAGTTTGTCATTTGATGATACATTAACCCAAATTGGCTTTTGCATTACTATTATATCTTTATAGCTTACATAAGTAATATTTATACATCCAATATTAAAATCTAAAATGCATGCAACAAGTAACTAAAAAATACAGCTTGACATGTAAAGATTGAAATATGTCAGTCATCTAAGTATTCATTAGAGAAGTTGCAGAATAATACTTACAGTTTGATCCTAGACTTGTAAAAAGAAAACAGTGGTATATAAAAACTATACATTTATCAATATATTTTTAAAAGAAGAATAAAAATGTGAGAAGTACTAAATTATTAGATCAGAAAGCAAATAATGTTAACACTATATAGGTAAATAGGATGGGATAAATAATGCAGGATTAGTCTTAAATATAGATTTAATGTATAATGAACTCAGAATGTTGAATAATCACAATAGAAAATATATAAACTAGGATAATATTATAGAAATATGAATTTAGCTTATGTGTATACCTCTTATCACTATAAAATAAGCTCTAGATGAATTTGAGTTGAATATTATAATTTCAAAAATTATGGTCAAGTAGAAAATAGAAAATTTGCCTCATAGAAGCATGGTTTTCTAATTATTAAAGGCCTAGAAGAAATTAGTTTTAAAATGTTAATTTAAATAATATAAATAATTTTAAAAGTTCCCTTGTTTTAGTTAATAAATTTTTAAACAGTTTCTCAAACTGTTTTTCTATACTCTTCTTTTTGGTGGGGGCTGTGCTGGGAATTAAACCCAGGCCCTTGCACGTACTAGGCAAGCGCTCTACCACTGAGCTACATTTCTGATTCTTTTTTATATTTTTTAATTTTTCATTTTTGAGAAAGGATCTCAGTAAGTTGCCCAGGATGCCTTGAACATGGAATCATTTTTGCCTAAACTTCTTGGGTAGCTGGGATTAGAGGCATGCACCATCATACTGGACTATTTTTTGAAGGTACTCATGAAGAGAATTTTTCTAATGTATGTTAAAAGGCAGAAAATATGCACAAACAACAACAACAACAAAAAAAACCCCCCAGCTTTTAGCCCTCTCTCCCAACCATGAATGAGAAATAAGCGTGAAGCTCACTGAGAGCTGTCAGTGTCAGCCACCTCAGGACCTCAGGCAGCATGGCCTCATCCAGCTTCACCGAGTGGCACTCCCGGTTCCAGCAGTTTGTGGAAGCCCTCCAACAAGACAGCTGGCTGATTCCACCCATTTATACCGACAAGGATTGGACCGAGGCTATCCATGACCTATGGCTTCAAGGAACTTCCATCGATTTCAACGCCAAGGAAATTTGCATCGTTAGCACCCTGGCCTTTATGGCTATAATTCTCTTGTCCCCCCAACCTGACCATTCCTCCCTTCCTTCAAACTCGTTGTCCCTCTCCAACAGGAAGTAGCCAGACGATTTCAACGCCCTGAGTCCAAACAAAAAGAAGGGAGGAATGTTGGGTTTTCAAGAGACCTTGGCATTAGGTTTTATTTGCCCCATTGGGTCTCTCCCCACTGAAGTTTCTATCTCTACAGAAGAATATTACACAATCCTTTACCCCTCCACCTCTTGTCTCAAGGGCGCCAAAGTAAAAATTTTTCTCCAAAAATTCCCTCAAGACACATTGTTTAATCACCCTTTCCTAACAAACCCTGCCAGTCACCACCATTCCTGAGTCACCCTGCAAATCAGCAACTGCCACATGGCCTAATCAATACTTCTAAAGCCAAAACTGGCTCAGGGGGCTGCTCTCTTCCTCTCCTTTTCTTCTCCTTCGTGCAGACCCCAATAAAATCTCTTAGTTCAATTAAAAAAAATCAAAAACAGATATTTGAATACTAAATAGCATAAATATGAAAATTTAAGCTGAGTGAAAATGTTTTCAAATAATTTCTGAAAAGACACAATATGGAATATCTTTATTGAAAAAATAGTTGAATATGGAAAAATAAAAATATGAGTTAAGAAAGATTATTGGTTATAATAATTTTGCTGTTTGGTTAATTTTAAAAGAGGAAAGTATCGGTGAAATTATCAGATAAATTGTAATTTGCCTTTATTGTGACTTGTTGATATTATTTTGCAGATTGTTTTGGCTCTGAAGTATCTAGCCAAAATAAAATATATACTAGATGAATGTGGAAAATTGCTTTTAAAAGCCATATATTATTTCCTTTTTTGTTTTTTCATAAGCTGTTCTGAATTTACTTAATTTATCTTAGATAAGTTTGCCAGGGTTTTGCTGAATTTTTTTTACTATTAACATCGAATTGTTGAAACTGGAACATCTGAAAATTTTATCAGTCAACATGGCTAGTTTCCCTCATATACCTGGGAGGTTAGGCAGAAGAGATTCTGTTAATTTGTCTATTTGCCTCGTCTATATTGTTTAATTGGAAGTAATAAATATTTTGTTTTTTAGGAAAGAACTGGAAAAACTGAGAAAAGATTTGGAAGAAGAGAAGGCCTTGAGAAGTAATCTAGAGGTAATTTGTTTCTCCCAGCATTGAGATTTTAGACAGTATAAACTATACCTTTTTTTTTTTTTTAATCCCAGCCATGTGATTGGTTCTACAAATTACGCCATTCTATTCCACTTGGACATTCCCTACTGCATGGTAGCAATTTTGTAAATATCTTGTTGATACTCTGTCATATTTCATTCATTCAAACGGAAAAACATCTTTGAACATTAACTCTCTTAGGCAGTGTATGAACCTGAAGGTATATATTTGTGAATAAAATAAATATTGTTCTTTCCTCTTACATCGCCAGTTTATTTTTTTCCTGTGGCAGGACTGGTGGTGTTATTGCTTTCCAGTTCTCACTAGAAGTTTACCTGTATTCTTTGCTGATGGCTGGCAATTTTATTTAATTCCTTTTTCTTCCTTAACTTTCTTTCTCTGCTCATGCATTTTTGTCTTCAATTGTGTTCTTCTTCCTACATATGTAAGAGAAAATTGTATCTTGCTTTTTTTTCCCTCCCAGAGGCTCTTCTTATTCTCTATTGAAGTATTTCATATCCTCTCTACATTTTACCTTACCTCATTACTTAGCCTGTTTCTTTTGTCAGCATCATAGGTCAAGATAGAACGTGGGACTGTGGTTATAGAACTTGAGCTCCTATTTTGAATTATAGTCTTGACTACCCTAAATTATATCATTTAGGCTTAGCTCTTTCTGTTCATTATCTCATTCGATACATATAAGGACTTGTAAGGATTATTGTTTTTATTTATAAGGGTGAGAAAACTGGAGATTAGATTGGTGAAGTAAGAGCAGTGGAACTGAAAAAATTTAAACATTTTTAACAGAAGTAACCAGACTTTAAAATGTCTACTCTTAGAAATTATCATACTGGGTAAACTTGGGTGAGTCACTTAACTTTCTTTAACTTTAGTTGTTGAAATAATATATTTAAAGATACAACTTACAAAGTATTATGAAAACTTCATTTTTACTCTTATATCTGACAAATTCTTTTTTTTTTTTTTTGGATGCTTTTGTTTCTTTGTATGAAAATACTCAATTTCCCCCCTTCAAACCAAAGCCTTCTTCCGGGTCTAACTGCCCTTTTGATCTACTGTACGTGTTTTCTCTTTTCATTTGAGGTTCATTTCCTACAAAACAAAAACAACTATCATTCTACCCTCTCACAAAAAGCCTACATTTGCAGTGTCTGAGTCTTTACCTTCATTTCATTCTTTAACCCCTTGCATTTTATTAGGTTTACTGATGCCACACCCAATTTCTCTTCTTCAGTTTCTGCACATTTCAAATTTTTACTGTTTTCTCTTTGTCAGAGGTTTGTTGTAGTAGAGTGATACTTGTTTCTTGTCTAACTTCTCTTTCCTTTTTGTTTCTTGAACCTTAAATGTAAATATTCCTTAACTACTATCCTTTGCTCTTTTTTTCTATGCATTCACTGTTTGAATTCATTTGCAACAGTGAATCTAGTGATTAGCTTTAATGCATCTCCCTCTAAATCTAATTCTTGTATTCCCAGTTTCTGTTAGTCTCCCTGGATGTTACATGGTGAACTTACCATATCTCCAGGGAAATATTTTATTTTCTTCTTTTGTTTTTTTGACTTCCTGTTTCTGTTACCCTTCTGGTCACACAGACATGGTACTTACCCTCTCTTCTAATTCTATTACTTTCAGTTCTATTTGCTTTACCTTCTAACTTTTATCTCAACACTCTCTTGTTCTGATGTTCTTTATTTTCTATTGAGCTTGCTCAAGTTTCTCCAATTTTATTGCAGATTAATCTTTCCTTGCTCGGGTACTTTCAAAAGTTTTCTGTTACTCGTTGAATAAAGTTCAAAATTCTCAACTTGGGTGTGTGAGGTCTTCTATTATTCTAGTCCTAGTTTATCTTTCTTTCTTAATTTCTGATCCTCCTCCATTGTGCCTTAACAAGTTGATACATCTGAATTTTCACTCTTCCTAAATTGTCTTCTTGCCTCATCTTCTAATGCTCATTCTATAGATTCTTAAAGACCTGCTCAAAGAATCACATTTATTAAGTTGGTAGTAGTCTTCCTTTGACTAGAAGTTTTAATTTTCATCCAAATTCACATTTCCTCTAGTTTTTAAAGACATGTATAAATCATAATTTTCAATCCATTACTGTACTATTTGTTTTGTTCCATTCCTTATTGTAAGACTGTTTAGAGTGAGATCCATGTCTGTTTCATCTTTGTCCATCACTCCTAACAGTGCTACACACTTACTAGATACCTAATAAATTATTGTTGTATTAATGAGTGTTAGAGGAAACGTGTTTAAAATACACCTTAAATTCACAGCATGTAAATTGGTAGAAATTGAGAAATTTAAAAAAAAGTTTCTTGACTTTCTTTATACATACATGCTGATATTCATATATGAAAATAAGATAAGCAAGAGGAATGTTTGTCTCATAAAAATTATGAAAGGAATCTAATGAATTCTTTTTTGAAGAATTTAATTTTTCCAACATGATCAGATGTTACCCTCCTATAGAACTGTATTTTTTCTCCCTAATGGGCAAAGTTTGACCTCTGTGTTTGTAAAAGCAAATTTAAGTCATTAAAGTTTTAGGATCATATAGTTAAAGAAATGTTTGCAGAAAGATTAGATGTAGTATTTTGAAATACTATAATATTACTACTATATAATACTAAATTACACTTGGGGGCGATAAAAAAGGAACAATGAGGAGGGTAGATAGCAATATAAGATTTTGCTTGATAACTAAAATTTATGTCAGAAATCACTGTTTGTATGGAGTAGTACTGACTTTGAATGAAGGATTATTCCTCCCATTTTTATTCCCTCTTTTGCCAACTTATTTCTTACTGCTTTCTGTGCATTCTTGCCTATTTTCACTTATCTTTGGAAACAAGACAGTAATAGTACATGAAGAGGATGATTTAAAGATATTTTATCTCAATTGAGACTGTAAATTGAGAATTGTTCTCATTCAATACTGCCAAAACATTTAGTGTATAATTATATTATTAAAAGAAAATTTAAGAATGATATCAGGAGAGATCCTGAAGTTAATAAACCATATTTGGATGGTTGGCATTACTTAGGAGATTGTGACCACATCAGAATTATACTTTACGACTAAGTCAGAGGTTAACTGATGCACGCGTTGCTTATGTGCCTTGTTGAAAAAGAGGCGATATTATCAGGAAAAAAGCAAGGAAGTGAAAGGTAAAGAAAACATTGGTGAATTGGGAAGAAAGTACAAAAACTGGACAATATAGACATAGACTTTACTAATACAAATCCTATGCGACCAGTTACTGATGTAGAAATATTGACTTACTATTTAATGTCTTTTAGCCTCAACTTAGGCATTTGTAGTATGTGAAAATTAAGTATCTCTTTGTAGTCATTATGATCATTTTTTTTTTTTTCCTTTCTCTTAAGTGAAGGGGCCCTTCTCCTAAAGGTGGAAATATTTCTAACACATTGTCTGAATCTTGGATATATTTCTGGGCTTTAGAGACATTTTAGTACCTTCTGTTTATAGGTGGGGAATTTGAAAGGAAGTAATGTTAAGCAATTTACCAGTAAAACATAGATAGTGAAAATCATGGAATATAAACTGGTCCTTTATTTTTTATACTATTCTACACTGCCCCCTTTGTTTAATTACATATACATGTACATTTTTTAATTTGATTTCCAGAGTTCTTTTGTTCTTTATAGAATAATTTTCTTAAAATTCTTTTAAATTTCACATTACTTAATATTGTTCTGGCTGTAAGAATTACAGTTGATATTTTTCTCGTTGTTCAGTGCTTCTTTGGAACTTGTACTGTGACATTTTTCTTCTGTTGAGCATTTACTCAATATTTATTACACCATGGGAAACTGGATTTTAGATCTGGAAATTAAAATCTACTGGCTTAAAAAGTATGATCAAACGTTAATGACATATGTCAAAATAATTTGCACTAATGTGTATTTTATCTGTTTCCCAATTTATATTTATTTTAGATGGAAATAGAGAAACTGAAAAAAGCTGTCCTGTCTTCTTGAAGTGTTCCAGGGATTCAGATGCAACAATATGAACTTCCATCGACTTGTTACTTAAAAATAACAAATGTTGATGTTGTGATAATGAAATATGAGTATATGAACTATATTATCTATTAAAAAGTTAGGGGGTGGGTGTTTTTTTAATATATATATATATATATATATATATATATATTTAGTTTTGCCAATATGAAAAAAAAAGAGGCCTTATTTCTTACTGTGCTGGGATTGCAAACATTATTTTTGTTTGTTTGCTTGAAAATACTACTGAATCTGTATAAAAAGGAAAGAAAGTTCATAATTTTTTTATTGAAACTTGTAGTATTATTTTTAAAGAGATCTATACTATAAATATGGTGATATCTTTACAAGTAATCTGTAAGATAAACTATTTGAGAGCGACAGATTAGCTTTATAGTAACTATAGTCACTACTTTTCCCATGATACATTAAGGGATATAAACTTTGTAAATATATACATATTTTTACTTTTAGCTTCTTACCCAAGATTACACTGTTGTGCCTGTTTGTCTGCAGTGCTGTTTTTAATTTGGGTGATGAAATAGGAGTTTCCTAGCTATAAATCAGATTACTCACCCATGCATACAGTAATAACTAATGAAATAATAAAAACAGTTTCAACTTTGAGTGTTTTATATTGCTTGCACTATAGGATTCATAAAAGGAATTTAGTTAAAATGTAATGGATTGTTAAACATGAGCTTTATTATAAGTTCATTAGTTCTAAGGAATCTAAAAACATCAATTTAATCCTTTACTTGTGCCTAGAAACTACAGCACATATGAAATAGTTAACACCAGCCTTATTGCTGTACTTTCCTGCTTGTTTTACAGTCTCAAAAATTTCATTATCTTTAGTTCTTCATACTCTTCCCTCTGACTTTTAATAATGTAATATTAGGAAAACAAAATCCAAATCTTTTCAGAACCTCATGTAAGGCTTCATACTGGGACAAGTTGTCATTATGTAAATACTCAGGTTTTACAGTATATAATTTACATAATAGGCCAAACTAACTCCTGGAGATATTTTGGAATGTTATTTAGATTAAAAGTTTAGAAAGGGTGTTAGTATATCATAAAATATAATATTACAGCTTATTTAAACCAAATATAGTTGATCATATTGAAAACCAGATTTTCACAGAATAGGTGAATCAGCAATTTCTTCAGAGTCATTTATGAACAGTTGAACATTTCAGAATGTTATATTCTATACATAATATGTCTAAAAACTTATAGGTTTATTTAAAATTTTGAAATTTTTCATTTGAAAAAAAAAAAAGGCATCCAGCTGTACTATAGGAAATGATTTTGAGTACCAAGTTATCATGCTTCCATTTTTTTTTTTTTTTTTTTTTTTTTTTAAACCACCCAATGTTTTTTCTTTACATTTTTTTAATCTCAAAAGTATGGAAATCTTGTGTAAATGAAATTCTTACTGTTTAAAAAAGATATAAAAAGAACTGAAGTAGAAAATAATAGAAATGCCAATACACAATTACTTAATATTTAAGTCACAATGTTTGGGCTTTGGAGGAAATTTAATTTTGCTTTTTGAGTGTGTACATTTTAACTATTTAATGTCTTTGGGCTCTTCTAATGAGATCACTACTGAACAAAATTGTTCCTTTTTGTTTTTAAATGATTAGTCAAATGAATGATTGCCTTGTTAAATAAATTATATCATCAATTAATGACAGTCTTTAGGTAAAAATAAAAATATTGCATCCTAGATACCATATCTTCCAGCTTTCTCATTGGAAGATGTACTAAGTTATCCCTACCTACCATAACAATGAGGTGAGAGAAGGTTCCAGCAGATTTCAGGTTATTCATGAAGGTTTTTTGGTCATTTTTCTGTAGTATATTTGACTTTCCTACTTCTCAGAATATAAAACTCATTGAAGTTCTCTCTGCTTTTCTACCCTTGACAAAATGTAAGGAAAACCAAGCAAGCTTGAAATTAAGGGGGAAACGATTCCTTTATCATAGTTTACCAGTATTTGCTCTTGATATGAAGACTTTCCTAAATTTCATGTCACAAAATGGTATGTAATAGTAATAGCTTTTATTGGAGGTGAAACATTAGTTCCCACCCTCCACTCCCTATTTGTGAGTATAAATGACAGAAAAGATGAGTCTGTTGTTGCCAAATTATTAGTGAATGTATAGTTCAGGTTTGCTATGCTTTGAAACACATAATACTAATTTTCTAATTGTATCCAATGTTACTTTTTTGTGTTGTGACCACTAAGCTTCTGTCTTATAAGCTGTTACCTCTACAGAATTTTATAGAACTTTACTGAAAAGTCTAAAGATGCAGAGAGAGAATGGGTCTTGTGGAACCAGAGGATCCCTTTTTTTTTTTTTTCTTTTTAAAATTAGCTCCTTACTGTGATTACAGGGGGGAAAAAATTCAAGTGCTCTGTAAGTTTTTTGGTAAATTTTTTATGCTTGCATTTAAACTTGAAATGTATGAGCAGAATGAGACAATCAGTTAAAATCCAAAATGAGAAGTGTTATAATTGAATGGCCTTGTTTTGCTGTAGCAATAAAATGACCAAGTGCAATGACTTAATAAAATCATCTTTTTAAAGTTGCTGCTATGAATATTTTTAGCTATAAAATTTTATCCTTGTTTTAGCCTGACTTGCCTTCAATAACTATTATGTAATGTGGTTGCTGTTGTAATCTAACATTCCAAAACACACACATACAACACACACACACACACACAAACACACACACACACGAGGAATCTCAGAATAGTATATTTACTGACTTGTTTACAAGTGTTGTAAAAAAAAAAGGATGCTTTTTCCTCAAAATAAAACTCAATAATAAAAGAATCGTATCGCTATTTTTGTCAGTTTTTGTTATTATTAACTTTAGCATATGTTTATTTTAGAGTGATGAATATTTATAATTTGAATTTTCCAAATAAAAGAAACAAATAGAAAATGAAAGTATTAAAGCTTCTAGGCCTGTGTGACTTTTCTTGTATCTTTCGAAATATGTCATTTCATCTGAAACTGTAAGACATTTCCTACCTTCCAGGATTATGGGGATAATTTGAAGTGATTTATATAAAGTGCCTTGTGAAGTGCTTGGGATACAGTTGGTTTAGAAAAAAATGAAGTTTCAAAAAAGCATTTTACAGTGTTGGATGAGATGGATAAGGTTAAGAGAGAGGAGGTATAGTATTTTCACTCCCTTTGATTTTGAGTACAGTATCACATTATATGGGGAGATACTACATTCTTCTATCTGTATTATATTCTTTGAATGGTAGCTGCTATCATCTTAGTTTCTACCTTCCAATAATTGCTCCCAGTAGGTGGAGTACTTAGCTCAAATTGAGTTTTAAAGTTAATCAGAGAGCAAGATTTTGGAATTTGGAAACAAAAAGCTAGTGTCAGCCTGAAAACTCTCCATACTTATATTTTTCTGTCATGGAATAGCTAATTGGAAAGAACAAAATTTAGTAAAGCATTGAGATGGAAACAGAATCGTAAAAGGATTTTGAAACTGATTATAGTCATTCTGGAACCTCAGTTACCTGTTGCTTGGTTCCTGAAGCACAAATTTGCTCATAAGCTTGTTGGGTTTCTGGCTCACAACTGAAAAAGTCCTGACAGATATAGAAAAGATTGAATCAAGATAGATAGCAAGGCACCAAGGATCTCACTTAGTGGTAGAAAGCACTTGCCTATCATTGTAAAGCTCTGGGTTCATTCACCAGTACAAAAACAAACCAAAAAACCTAAACATGCCCCATGTATTCATGCTGGAAATATGCCACATACAAAGCTCAGACTTTCTAAAAATTACCATGAAGTAACTATGAAGCAGTATGGATATAAGTATGTCAAATCATTTAAGTAAAAAAAAAAAAATCTAAAAATTTTGAGTTGCTTTTTAATTGGCCTGCATAAACATTAGACAAAAATTAAGCCTTGCAGGCACATGGTGATAACTTGACTATAGAATTTTAGTGTTTGAGGAGATATTAGAGATTGTCCAATCCAAACCTTATGAGATAGTTTTATGTGAGGATAAAGTCTTCAAATTTAGTTCTATTCTAAGAAGTAAAAGCAGATGACAGTTTAACTGAAATAGCTTTATTAGGTTCTATTACTTTCAAGATTCTATTACTAAGATTCAAGAGAGACTGGGTCTGGGTATTACAATATTTTCTGAACCTCCATATTAATGCATCATGAAATTATGAGAAAAACTATTGAACAGAGTAGGACAAAGCAAGGCATTTCCTTATGGGTGTGTGATGATAACAGTTGAGCACTAATTGCATGCTGAGACAGCAATTCTACCCACCACTGCATTTACACCATCAGTATAGATTTCAACACACACACAAAACAGCTGACATTGTGGGCTGGCCTAAAATAACCTAGCATATAGTTCACAATCAGTAATTTGGGGGTTAGGGGGTTGGGGATTGAATCCAAGGATGCTTAACCACTGAGCCACATCCTCAGCCCTTTAAATTTATTTAGATGCAGGGTCTCACTAGGTTGCTTATAACCTCCTTAAGTTGCTGAGGTTGGCTTCAAACTTTTGATCCTCCTGCCTCAGCCTCTCAAGCTTCTAGGATTACAGGTGTGCACCACTGTGCCTGACTCTCCATAAATGTTTTGTAGATGAATTAATAAAAGAAAGCAGAGGTTGTGTCTGTTTTGACCCCCTTCTGCCTTTTCATCTCTCCTCTTCAAATATTTAAGTATCCTAGTTGAAATCCACTGCTATCTCACCAATTGTTATTAAGTAGCTATTCCAGGAACTCTGTTAGGCTCTTCAAATATGTTAAATATTTTATACTGGATTTTAAGTGGTCTGTTTAATTACACCAAGGCTTATCTTTAGAAATAGAGGGGCTGGGATTATAGCTCAGCGGTAGAGCACTTGCCTTGCCCTTGCGAGGTACCACATAAAAAATAAATAAATAAAGATATTGTGTTTATTTAAAAAAAAAAACAGAAATAGGAATCCTGTCAGTATGATGTAACAAGCACTGTTTCAACTTACCACTTTTCTAATTATTTCGCCATTCAACAGTTCTGTGTGATGTTGTTTTATTCTTCACAGAAGAGTGAACCAATTCAGGAAGATTAAGCGACTTGACCAAGGCTTCTGAGCTAGTAAGGGATGGAACTAACCTCCAAGCCCAGACAGCGTGATTTTGGAGCTTATTCTCTTGATCATATATGCTTTATTATTGGCACTCTCGAGATAATGAGTATGAAAGAAGCCTAAATAGGGTATTCAAATTTTTTACCACTTTTATGAATCTTCTCTGAGCATCAAATCTTTCCATTGGTAGAACAATCATTTTAGTTATCCCAGTCCTTTAAGATTCCTCTGTGTGATATGATCACACATAAGATTTTAGTTAGCATTTTTCCTTTCTTAGTGTACACCTCTACAAATATGCTTTTCATGGGTTTTCAGTGAAGACAAAAAAAAAAAAAAATCTACTTCCGTAAAACAAACAACTGACCACTAGATGGCAGTCAAAGCTTGGCTTCTTTGGTTTGTCTTGAGTAAAACACAAATACATGTAGAACCTGCAAATAAATCATGCAGGGCTTCAACCCAATGAATTCATTCAGAGCTGGGACATAACCATCTCACTCCCCTAGCCCAACCTCTTCCTCAAGAGAAGTGCCACATAATAGAGGATGAGAGGTGAGGGTTTGGAATCAGATCAATCTGGCTTTGAAAACTTGCTCAAAAATTAGTAGCTCTGGGCACTTAGCAAATCACTTCAAATTTTGCCACTTACCTATAAAAGATGCCCCCAAAATTGTTACTACAATTTAAAGCCTTTTCCCTCTTGTTATATACTCAGAGGGAAGAGAGAGGGGATCCTGTGGTCTGAGAAAACAACCAACTCACAGCAATAGCAACAAATAGCTGGACGCTATTTCCTTGAAAGATCCTTTAACCCCAGGTTGCTGCAGGGTTTTGGTTCCTTCCTCCATGCTATTTGCCACTGACAGCTCTGGATTATCTGGGAGCAGCTCCTTTTTCTAATGTGCTCCTTCTTTAACCAACCTCCAAAGAAAACAAATCCTCTCTATGGTTACTTATGTAACAAACTCACAAAATAACCTGCACCCTGGACTTCTCAAAGAGTTACTGGTAAGGCATCTCTGACTTTTCTACTTCTAGCTTCTCCCCAAGGGCCTTGTATAAGGTCCACACAGCCCAGTCCATTCCAAGCAGTGGTCGGGGGAAAGAACTGGTGCCACGATCATGCCTAAGAAAGAAAATCTATTTTCAGCTTGAATTCTGAATAGGAAATATTTTGCTGTCCAAAAGGAAGTTAATGTGTCCCTCCTGGTACTACATGACTATAATGTCACAGAAACTGGGAACCATGTTACCCTAGAAAGGACGTGGCTATCTGAATGACTCTAGGTGTGAAACATGTTATTTAAGAGGTTAGAACAATGTGACATCACACAGCTCTTTCCACTAACAACAGCCAGTTGTCTGCAGAACACTAGGGGAAAGCAAAACCTTCCACATAGAGCTCTGAGTCTTGGTTCAGAGCTTAGGCAGTGATTTTGAACAAGTGACAAAACTAGCAATTGTGATTTTTAATATAATAAAAGTCCTGGAGTATGAGAAAAACAACAGGGGACACATAAATGTATTCAATGTAAAAGGGATTGTTTTCCTCAGTCTCACCAAGATTATCAACAGTCCTATTGGAGGGAGGGAAGTGGAGAATGAAATAAAATAATAAAATAAAACAATTATTTTTAGTTCCTTGAGTATATATGTAATGTAAAAATGTCTTTGTTGATTTCATCTTGATCTAAGCTTTTGTTCTCACAGCAGGAAAGAAAGAGAAAAAACATTGTGATTCAAAGTCAATGATCTTGTCTGGTTTAAAACAAGGAGCAATCAAGATGAAGTTCTTCTCAAACTATTTCTCTTATGGGACCCACCTGCCTTTATTCTCAGTTGGTGTCAAGGTATCCTCTTGGCAGCAGGAGGAGGCAAGACCTCAGGTCTGTGTGCTGTCCTGTAGCCTTCATTGGTCCCCGGGGAGTGTCTTCACTACCCAGCTCATGGCCTTCTGTCCCACATGCACAGAGTTGTGATTGATCCTGCCTAGTTCTTCTCGGTATCACACTGTTATGCACTTGATTCTCACAAAAACCTTCAATAACAAGTTACTGAATGCAGCACCTGTGCATCCTAACTCAATTTTCCCAATAGCTTTATCCTCCTTTGACTTAGTTATCCACAAATTTCTGGGACAAGCTGCCAAGAAAAAGGAGATTGTTGTCTCACACCTATCTGATTAGACTTTTGCCTGTGCTCTTAACTGCTCTTTGTCTTGACTCAACATCAAGTAATAAACCAGGCCTTTCATGAGTCCTCCCTAGGAAACTTGAAACCTGACAGATATATCCAGGGAAATGAAGCATTGGCCCTTTGTGGATCTCCTTAAGCACAGCGGTGTGTTTTTGAGCCCTTATAGCCCTCTGCCTCTTTTCCTTCCCAGCTCAGCACTGACTTTAGGAAATACTTTTATCTCATCTCCTGCTCTGCCTGTACTTGCCTTGTCCTCTGGGGCTTCTTTTTTCCAGAACCTGAAATGTTCTGTGTTAGTTTTCTATTTCTGCTGAAATTACCACAAATTTAGTGGCATAGAACAATAGAAACATTTTGTGCTGGAGCTCAAAAGTCCAACTGGAACTCCCTAGGCTGAATCAATGTGCATGCAGGCTATGGTCCTTTCTTGGGGCTCTAGTGAGGGATTCATGTTATTCCATTTTCCAGTCTTAAGAAGTTGCTGGCATTTCTTGGTTTATGGCCTCTTTT